GTGTCTGGAGCACTTGCTGTGGAAGACTGAGGCATAAAATTAATTTAGAATCTCAGTCTTCTCCATATTCCAGGTCTATCCAGGTAGCCAGATCTCCCACTTCCTCCTAGAGAGGGCCCACATTATCCCTAGTCATTTTTTTGTTATAACTACACCTATAGAAACTCTTTCTATTGCCTTTGACATCTCTGGCTAGACTCAATTCTAACTGGGCTTTAGCTTGTCTTTGCTTCTACCTTCAGTAAATTTCTTTTTTATCTCTGAGGTGCTCAGCAGCTCCTTATCCATGTATGGATGCCTCTTGGCATTTTTGCCCCATATTCTCTTGTTAAAATGCATTGTTCCTGAGCTTGGAGGAAGAGATCCTTGAATATTAGCCAGTATTCTTGTGCCACTCTGCTCGCCAGGGCTCTACCACAGGGTACCCTATGACACAGGCTCCCAAAGATACCAAAGTCTGCTCTCCTAAGTCCAGGGCAGGTGATCTTATTGTGTATAGTTTTATTATATGTATAACATATTATCTATTTATTGTATATTAAATATATTTATTGACAGCTTCTTTCAGGTACCTATTTTTAAAGATGCAAAGTAAAAATTGTTAGATTTGTGTCTGATGTGTTATAATGGATGTTTTTTTTATAAAAGGCAACAGTGGTTTGAAAATGCTTAATTCTAGAAGATATAGCTTGTTGTCTTTGGATGTCATTGTCAACAAATTCAATGACTATATTGTGTTTGAACAGTTTCCTTGAAAAACTAATTCACACTAATATCTCAAAAAGAACTAGTCTGCCAACAGGAAGGCATGCTTTCGGAAATACTGATTAGAAGATTGCTGGTTGTGAAAAAAGAATATAGCAGTCTTTCTTTCTCTCCCACATCTGAAATTTATCCTTGTTCAGTTCTCACATTTATTCAGTGGAATGACTCATCTCACCTCATCTTTAGCCTTCTGAAGCCACAATGACCACCTAATATAATCTCCTGGCTCATTTCTTTCCCTAGTGGGAGAAGGCAGTGCACACTTTCCTGAGGAAGTATATGACAGACAGGTTTATCAGTGCTATCCACCCCCAGTGACTTCCACTAGCATCTGTATATCTGATTTCTATAGAAGGTTTGTGCTAGGTGAAGCAGTTGACTTGAAGAAAAAAACCCAAAACACAACCAATCCTTTTAACTGCTTATATTTGCTCATTCAGTTCCCAAAGTTCAGAACCTGAGAATGAGGGAGGTGTTTGCATATTGGAGGAGTGCACATCCTTTACAGTTCTCAGTAGCAGGACAGGGAGACAATGATAATTCGCAGGACTTGGCACTGAGGAAGTGCCTAGGCTGTTGTTGTATTGAAAAGTAAGCCAAAGTTTGCTAAAGTTTCCAGTGCAGGACTTCCTTCGATAGGCATGAGGGAATTTATAAATGGGAAGTGAAAACCTAAACTATTTAATTTCACTTATGACTAATGTTGTCAAAAGTTTATCTCAACGTTCTTTCACATTCCACTCAAGGTGAGTTGAAACAAGCTTTTTACCATCCTGCCAAGGACACTGAACTCATTGTTGTTGTACTTTCATGCTTCTAATAATAATAAAAATAATTTATTATTTAATTTTTAAATGTTTGTATTTTTATTCAAAGCAGGGATAATACTTCAGGAAACATGAAGAAGGCAAAGCAATTACTTGGGAAATTGCATATAATTTTTTTGGATTGAAATGTGTAGCAGTACTGTGTGTTTGCTCTTTGCACATGTTTTTATTTCCTCTGAATCTTGTGACTTGCATTTTTTTGTGTACAAAAGCAATGACAGAAGATAGATATCCAGCCTTATAAAAATTCATTTTGTCACAGGCTACCAGTTACTCTATTTTTAGTTTCAAGAATTGCAACATGATCTGGCTTTCAGGATGTGTCTTTTCCACAGTGAAAACATTATATATGTATGCAGAGCCTTACATTAAGATGCAGAAGAGTGTGGAATGAATAATACCCACTGACTGTTGCAAAAAGAGGTGTTGAACTTCTAGGTTACTTCTTGTGTATGCTGTATTTCTCCCGCCAATTCTCTCTTGGAAAGGGTTTCAGGGATTTGCTATACGGGTTGGGGAAGACGAAACAGGAAAGACTTACAAATATGATTGTCTGGCAAAAGATTTTGAGAATATAGAAACTATAGGCAAGATTGAAATGAAAGCAAGCTTTGAAATACCTTAGTTAGTGAACAATTGGAAGACAATGGTGTGGCTGGCTGAAGGGAATCCCCTTTTGATGAAAAAATACCCTCTGCTTGCAGACAGGTCCAAGGCTCAAAGCAGACCCTATTAGCTTGGCAGAAGGGGTTCAAAGATTAATTTTTAGGGTTTAAAATGTAACACAGTATGGTAATGTAATGATTCTTATAGGCTGTATGTAAATGCTGTAAGATTTGTATATTGTACTAGATTGGTTAGTGAGAATTAGAATATTCAACACAGAAGACGATTTATTGTATTGTAACGAGAACTTTGCTCTCTTACCCCTTTTACTCTGTTATGCTTTTGCTCTCTTACCCTTTTATGCTCTTACACTCTCATCCTCTCTACCCCTCTCTTCTCCTGGGCTTGCTCTGAGCTGTGGCTGGCAGCTCCCAGCAGGGCCCTGCACCCAGGCCCTTTGCAATAAACCCCAAGTTCCACAACCTGGCTGCAGAGATATTTCATCTCTGTCCATCCCGACCGTCCTGCCCCCCAACGCTCCTACACTATGTGTACACTGTGTGTACGCTGTGGAGACATCTGTCTGCCCAGCTGACTGAAACTACTGCACATGTGCATTGCATGCATAACCACCTGTAGTGTACGCTGGATACTTTTAGACAGTGTTAAATATCCTGTGTATTTGCTTTACAGTTCTTTTACACCCCAACAGGCAGACAGATACTGTTGCAGGGCATCTGTCACACCGTCTGTGTGCTTAGATAGTCTGCACATGCTCTTTAACTCTGACATGACTCTCAGAATGTCCAATTTATCGAGCTTGTCAATTATAATGAGATGACAGACGCATGCCTATTTCTATGTAGGAATTCTTTGATATGGTTCACTGCTTCTCAAACTTAGTAAGAATTTCTTACCAGTAACTATGGTGGTTTTCCAGAGGAGAGAGAGGAATGAGCTGAAGATCAGAAGGAAGAGTTTGTCTTTCAGTTCAGCAGATGCTTATTTTCCAAACTTTTTTGTGTGTATACTGAAGCCAGCTTTTATGCAGTCAGGTCTATTTCTGATAACTATTTTGTTAATTTATAAAGTTTGTTGTTGATTTTACTTTTTTTTTAAAGCTATTTGATCTGGCTCTCAAAGGAATGTTATCACAAATGAGTTGATCTTAGAGTTGACTGCTAAGATCATTGAGTCCAACCATTAACCCAGCACTGCCAAGCTCTCACTTAACTGTGTTCCTAAGTGCCACAGGTGAATTTGATTGAATTTCAAAATTATTTCAGCGACCTTGAAGCAGAATTTTTCAGGTAATAAATTTTCCTGGATTCTCTTCAGTCCATTTAGGATTATTTTTTTAAAAAAACAAAACAGATACATTAAAGGCAAACTATCACCAGGCTCTTATTTAATACAATTAGTTGGGAGTAGCTGCTCAGTGACTAGAGTAGTGACTCAATGAATCAGCAATAGTTAAAGATAATGGATGGTAAGACAAAGACTCTGTAATTTTTTCACATGACAGTGTGAGAAACAAATGACTGATGCACATAGTACTTTGCATAATCTTCATTGAAGAATGTTGGTTCCAAGAAGCAATCATTACTCACTGTGCTATTATTGAAAATGAGTTTTGAATGAGTTGCAGCATAAAGCTACCAATTACTTATATCAATTAAGTAAAAGTCAGGAAGAACCAAAGTTCATGTTCTTTCTGTAAAATTGACTGCTGTGGCTTGTACAGAGTGTTTCTGGTAGCTAGTTAAGTTGTCATAACTGCAGACTCCCCATACACAGAATGAAGAAACAAGGAGGCATATGCAGCAATGCTTACTGTTCAAATGTGAAAGTAGTGAGTACTGTTTAATATACATGAGATATATGGTAGCTGCTTGATCTAATGAAAATCATAGCATTTCCTAACCTTGTATAATATTTCTACAATTGTGTTTCTAAGTATAATCTAATAGAGTTTTCCATGTGTATGTCAATCATTAGCAATAAGAGTAATTTGTTAACAGATACTATTCAAGAAGTTCCTTTTTACGACTGAATTGAAATTGTCCTCTCTTAGCTCCTGTGTTAAATTTAAAATAATTTCTATTTTTACTTATTTCAGTTTTGAATAGGAAACAGACAGCTGATTAATGGAAGTGATTGTCCTGCCCTGCTCTGCACTGGTATCGCCTCACCTTGAGTACTATGTGCAGTTTTGTGCACCACAATATAAGATATTATTCTATTAGAAAGTGTCCATAGGAAAGCCACAGGTATGGTGAAAGATCTGGAGGGGAAACCTTACAAAGAGTGACTGAGACCACGTGATCTGTTCAGACTGGAGAAGAGGAGACTAAGAGGAAACATTGCAGTCTTCAACAGTCTCTTGAGGGGAAGTGAAGGGGTGGATACTGATCTCTTCCCTCTCATGACTAGTGACAGCACTCAAGGAGTCTGAGTTCAGAAGTCTTTGGGCAATGCTCTCAGGCATATGTTGTGACTCTTGGGGTGTCCTGTGTAGGGTCAGAGGCTGGACTCAGTGATACTGATGGGTCCCTTCCAACTCATCATATTCTATCATTCTGTGTTGGTATGATTCTGTGATAACCCATTTAATTATGTATATTTACCTGGCATAATTGTAACTGATCTTTAAAAAGTATTTTTTGTTGACTTCATGTATCAACATAAAAAAAACCTTCAAAATCTTTTAGACTTCCAAAAGTTCTCACCTGTCAAGGTGTATGCAAGGTCTCATCCTGGGAACTGACACTAACTTTAAACCTATTTTATTTTATATTAATCAGATTTTTGTTTTCCTTTCTTTAGATTGCGGTCTTTGGTAAAGCAATTGGAGAGAGGGGAAGCTTCAGTTGTAGATCTAAAGAAGAATTTGGAATATGCAGCGACTGTTCTTGAGTCAGTATACATTGATGAAACTAGGTGAGCTAACTACAGGCATCAGCACTCATATCTAGCACCAGTTGTAATTTACACGCCAGTTGTGAAAGTTGGTTGAGCCAAGATTTATTGCTTGTAGACAATATGGTTTTAATCATTAGAATATTGTATTCTGCTTAGAAGAGATCTTCAGTCCTTCATTTAAAAAGTTCTTTAGTTTCCTGGAAAAGGGAAGGAGATCAAAACCAAACATAACTGTAATACACTTTTTCTTACAGAAATGCTTTCATAGTTGTTGCAACATAAGTAGACTCAACTATTTCTTCTGAACAATGTTAAATTTTTCACTTGTATGATGTCTTTGAAATTAAAAAAAAAATTACTCATGAACAGAGGTAGACTGGCAAAACATTGCAGAGGAGTTTCCCCCTCTTGGTTTCATGCCATTTACCCAGTGATTAATGCACTTCTAGAGTCAACACAGATGACCAGAATAGGAGAGGAGAGGACTGTGTGTTACTAACTCAGATGCTAGAAATTTCCAGAAATGACCATAAATTACCTTTGAAAGGCAGAAAGTTCAGAAATATGATGAACTGAAGATGTAAAGATATTAGAGGATCACATAGTTTTGCTTCAGAAGGCTGATACACCTTGTTTCTCAGCCTAGTAGCGAGTTCCACAATCTGAAATATAAGTACATAAGAGAATAAACAAACAGTTGAAGAGTTGTACTAGTGTGTTTTGTTAGGGCTGATGAATCAAAGACTTTTAACAGCTGCTTTATTTAGAATATAGATGAGTTTCTTTTTTAATAATGTTGTAGTGCTCTCTAAAGAACTCTGTTTACCCTTCTGTTTCCTCATCCTTCCAGGCGTTTACTGGACACAGAAGATGAACTCAGTGATCTCCGGTCTGACTCCGTGCCCTCAGAGGTCCGTGACTGGTTGGCTTCCACCTTCACACGGCAAATGGGGATGATGCTTAAAAGGACTGAGGAAAAACCGCGGTTCAGGAGTATCGTCCATGCAGTGCAAGCTGGGATATTTGTGGAAAGGTGAAGTGTTATGTAATTACTTTATTCTACTATCTACCCAGGTACTGCAGGTTTCACCTATAGTATGTCACGGCACAATGACAGGAGGTACAGAGGAGTACCTCAGGCCAGAAGACCTCAGAGGACTAGTGGAAGACTGCTGAATGAAGAACACTTTAATGTGCTTCTGTTAATGCTTCTGCATAGATCTGGGTAACACTTAAAAACATGTGATTTAGTAAAAGACTGCAAACTGAAAAAGTACCTAGTCCTCTGTTCTTACTATAGTACGGATGTAATAGAACACAGTATAATTTTGATGGACAATATACACTACTGCATAGCCCTAGATCAGGAGTGACAGCATTTAAAATTTGGACAGATCAAACTCTCCTTTGCTTCCATTTACTTCTGTGGTCTAGTGTTTCTTATGAAGAAGTTCTTAGATACAGAACAAAGTCCTTTACCATATTATTACTGGAGCTAACCATAGATAAAACTGATGTGATAATTCTGGAGCCTAGAGAGGATTTCAAAAAAGCCATTGAGTTCTCTAAGCCTTCCCTCTTGTGATGTACATCACAACCTGTTGCTAAAACTGATTTTACTTTTTTAACCCTTTAAAACATTTATTCAATTTGGACTCCTAATCTTACCTTTTCTGGTCAAGTAACCACTCTTCACTGACCTTCTTTGTTTAAGCCAGGAGGAGGGCTGGCATGTGTGAAACTGTCAGCATTCTTTGGACACCCTGAAAGACAGCAGCTCTCATATCTATGGTGTAATTTTGTAACAGCAAAATTCAAGTCAGGAGTGGAAGAGCAGAACACCTTTCACTGTTGATCACAATCGCAGTGACAGCCCAACAGCCCTCTGTGCAGGAGGTTATGCATATCAGACAGTGGACCACAATACACAGACTCATAGAATCCTCCTTTGTCATGACTATAGCAAATATTTTTGTCTGTGTACTAAAATTACTGTACATGTGTTAAGAGTAGCAGCAAACTGTAATAAGACTAAACCTCTAATTTCTCCTTGGGACAGATTTCTCCAAGGTTTGACAGGCTACTTGTGAATTAACTCTCATTCTGTGGGGCATTTGCTCAACAAGGAAGTAAATGCAGAAAGCTGGCTCAGTGGGCTGTTTTCCAGCTGACCTGGATCACTGTGACCCAAAGAAGGAAGTGTTCGGATATAATATGGTACTGGAAGAGGGTTGTGACTCTCTTGAGCTAAGGGACAGGGGCTCTTCCTCAGTTGTCTCTTAAGAGAATGCTGTGGAGCTTCAGACTAGAGAAAGGAAGGGATAAGAGATTCTGTAATTTGGGAATGGGTGAATATAAGTCTCCAAAGGTGAATGACTTTTTTCAGGTCTGAGTGCAGAATATGACAAAGAAAAATGGCAGTGAAGGAAGACTTTGCACAGGGTCATTCAGATGAGAGAAGAGAACTTTCCATCATCTCCTTTTAGTCCTACAGTGCTTTAGGGCAAAAAAAAAGGTGACCTGTGGAAAGACCTTCTAGCTATGACAGAGTTTCTACATTTCCCAAATCCTGTTAAACACAGTGTGTCCTGAAAACAATTTTAAATACTTGTACATACTTTATAATCTGTTCAAAATATACTTTATAATCAAGTTTAAAATCTGGTACATTACATACTTTGTTTAATATGGTTACAGATGTTGACTATTGCCTTGTTCTTTTTCTCTCACTCCCTGAAACACAGACACATGGCAAACACTGAAAAGGTTTTATACTAATCTTGAAAACATGCAGACAAAAATAACAGCTGAATCACACTGAAGTTGATTCATTTCATACAAATGATTTCTGAAGTACACTCAGAATTAGCTTGCATGTGGGCCAGCAAAGACTAAGGGAACTGAAAGGTCAGTACAGTTATGTGCAATGGAAAATGGGGAACATTTTGTTCGAGTGTAGCCTTTCCATCTGATGAAGGCCTGGTACTGGCAAATTCTTTGTCATGTTCAGCACAGTAATCAAGCTGTGAGATACTGGGGAGTGTACAATCTCAAATTAAGCTATACAATAAGAATAATATTGAGAATATTGGGCAAGTTAGGAACAAAATGGAAGGAAAAAAGATCCATATTCCAGTTAGGGTTTTCTATGCTAAACAAGGTTTCCTGTAAACAAAGTCTCCTTGTCAGTTTTTTTATGAGTTTTGTTGATTGTTTGTTTTGTTTTATTTAATTATATTTATGTGTTGCTTTATCTATTTAATCTTGATAGAATGTACAGGCGTACTTCAAATATGGTCGGCTTGAGCTACCCACCAGCTGTAATTGGAGTGCTAAAGGTAATCCCAGTAAAAAGGTGTTGAAGGGGGGTCTGTACAAAGCATAAAAATAATACTGTGATATTTGACAGGATATGTGGGGGGATCTTAATACTTGGTCTTTCTTTCTCTCTGACATTCAGTTAGTTCACATACATTAATCATTTGACTGGACTAAGGGATTATCCTTTCAATAAAAGAAAGAATGAACTTTAAGACTGCAGTCATTTTCAGGTTGTGAAGGTTGCAATTCTGTCCTAGATTACAGTGATTAAAATGAAGATTTAGGAATCACTCATATTTCACAAGGAAGAAAGAAAATGCAGATGGAGAGAGATGGAGAAGGGAAAGGATCTGTTGCTGTGAAAGAAGGGAATTTCTTGCATTGTTCAGCTTCAGTTCTTCAAAGTGATAATCACTTTATAAAAATGAACCCTTCTTTGAGTTTTGAGGTTTCAGAGTGAAAACTGTTAGTCAGAAGTAGTCTGAAAAATAAACAGTGCCTCAATCCATGGGACAATGGCAAGATTCTTGACTTAGGCAGGAATTATCAAGACTACAAACAAGTTGACAACTAGCTGCCTACACAGCAGTTTTGCAGATTACATGTTGCATGTGGTTCAACCCTGTCCTGCAATGGTGAAAAAAGGTGATATAGTGGAGCAATACAGAGGGGTATTAAGTATAAAACTCATTAAGACATCTTGCAGCATTTCTCCACACTGGAAAGATTTGCAGTTAAGCTATTCTTTTCATTTTGAATAGTAGAACTCATCAAAAGATGTGGTGGTATTGCAAGAAGAATGATCAAACGTGCCCTTCCTATATAAAATCAAAGTGTCCACCCACACCTTTTTCCAACTGCATATTGACTAGTGCTAGCTTCACTTGCTTCACTCCTGAAAGGGGATATAAATTCTTTATTCTTTTGCAACTACAGTCTATAGCATCTTATGAGAGAAGATATCTATAATGTTACGTCTTCTCCTGAGTTTCTCTGCAGCAACAAGACAGTTGAAAACATCACCTACTCTCCACCGACTTAAGCCTTATAGAATTCCTCCCTTTTTTCTATGTTTTCAAATGATTAGGTTGTAAAAAGTGATCATGTTAGAATAAGTTAAAACAAACCAGTAACAGCAAAAGCATTGACTAATTTTCCCCAGAGTGAAATAGCATCTACCTGGTCACTGTGCACTCTAGAATATATATTTTTTTCCAAAACTGTTTTGAGAACATGCCTTTGCTTGGATATTTTTGGAGTTGGTAATGGATTTGGTTGAAATGGGAGTTATTTTGAAGAAACCAAAACAGTGTCCCTAGCAAAGTAGTCACAGCACCAAGCCTGATGGAGGTTCAAGAAGCATTTGGATGATGCTGTCAGGCACAAGGTGTGACTCTTGGGGATGTCCTGTGAAGGACTAGGAGGTGGACTTGATGATCCTTGTGGGTCCTTTCCAACTCAGCATATTCTATGATTCTCTGAAGTCTTCTGTCTTAAAAACCATATTTCGTCTGAAATTTCTCAGTCCCATTTCCTCCATTGAAAGTGGTCTATTTTGTTGCTTGCTTCAGTCCAGTAAAGTCAATTAAAAAACCCTTACAGTGACCTGACTGCTCAGTGTGCTCTGTAAAATGACCTGATGATTTAAGCATGCAAAAAGGTGTAGGAGTGTACCACACACACACACATCTTCAACTGTTCTGGATTGTCATAATCAACATTCCCCTCAGAGTCATGCTAATAAGGACAAGGACTGAGATGAAATGAAGCCAAAACAAGCTTATTTTTTAACTATAAATTCTCATTTTTGCTGCTGTGGTCAAGAGGACATCTGCACTTAATAACTCAAAGCTGCGGAATCACAGCTTTGTGACAGAGGTTGGTTTTAAAAAGAATGAAATACTGCAATTTCTACAAAAAAAATGAAGGCTGTAGCAGCACTAGTTCTAGATGTATAATCTGTCCCATTTTTTCAGTGGATGAGAAGTTAGGCTTTTTTTTAATTTAGTGCACAGCATCCCTCTCTTTTTATATATATTTTGTACTAATTTTTCTACTGTAGTAATCTGTTGCCTTTCTGTGTGACATGGGTGTGACGATAAAAGACTGGTTGCCATAAAAGGACAATCAATTTGAATGGTGGTTTTACAAACCATTCATAGAGACGTGTTTACAGAGTACACTGTGGTGATCTGCTATTCATCAGTCTAGTGCTGGAGACGGAACTTCACTGTCTAACATTAATTACTGCTGAAGGAGTTACATGGTTTAGAATTGAATTTTTCATCCTTTTTTGATGCCCATGCCATGACAGGAATATTTTCAAGGCTAGCAAATATACAGGTAATGAACACAGAACCTGTAGTCACTTACATTGTCTGCAGTATAGACTCCTGCTTATCTGTGGCTACAAAAATGTTGTGCCTTCCAGTAAGGTTGAGCAGAATAACATCTATCTCTTAATTTGCTTGTTGACTTATATATCAAGTCCCCAAAGGTTAAGAAGAGACAGCTAGGAAACTGAGCATTTAGAAAGAAGTAGAGTTTCTCTTCATCTCTTGCTAGATAATGAATGCTGTCCCTCCCACAGCCTTCCCTAACATTTGAGATTCACACTCAAACTTCTGCAAGAAGACTAGACCTTAAAGTTTAGATGTAGGTGCTTAGAAGTGAATTTGCCCTCTTTGATCTCTTGACTGACCAGCCTGAAACACTAGTAGGCAATTTACAGCTGACCGTAACTTTTCCATCTGGAATTAGATATTTATTCTTCTGTTATAAAGCTTAGTATTTTATATAATTGTTAGCACTTAGTGTATCACATCAGCCCAAATAGGACCATCTCAATGTCTCAGGTACTAAAACAAATAAGGATTTTTACCTTTTAGGATTCATCTTTTGTCAATTAAATGCCAGTGTAGAGAATTGCTGTGTTTAGAATAAACAAACAGCATGTATGTTTTTAATGGAAGCCTAAACATAAATCACACAGCACTAATAGGTATACTGATACATATTCATTGCTTAAATGGATTATGAAGAATTTATTGAAAAATAAATTATACCTTTACATCACTACTGAAATTCTCAAATTGTGAGAGAAAGTGAAGAAATGGAATGATATGATAAAAACGATAACCATATTATCTGCATTTTCTACCTCCTCTTGCAGAATGTAGACAAATGGTCCTTTGATGTGTTTGCACTAAATGATGCCAGTGGGGATCATGCACTGAAATTCATTTTCTATGAACTTCTCACACGCTATGATCTGATCAATCGTTTCAAGGTCAGTAGTTAGAAGACGGCTATCTTTTTTCAACTTCCCTCTCATCCTGCTTTTTTCAATTAAAAATGCAATTTTAGTGATCTTTGAAGAATTTGTGAACATTGCACTTTCCCTAATAAGCAAAAACAGATGTGATTTAAATAGTACTGTCAATTGCAATGACATGTCATGAACTAGGTGGGGTTCTAAATTAAATCCATCGGAAATACTGCCTTTGGTCCTCTGAGAATGATGGTGTCATTTTCCTGAGCTTCATAGGCACAAAAGAGAACAGGAGAGTATGAAAAAAAATTCAAATTCATTCCAATTGGATTGGCCAGCAGGTCAAAGTAGGTGATTCTACTCCAAGCTCTACTCTCATAAGACCCCATTTGGAGTACTGCATCCAGATCATCCAGGTCTGGAGTTCTCAGCACAGGAAAGACATGGGCTGTTGGACCCATTGTAGAGGAGGGCCACAGAAATTATCAGAGGGCTGGAGCACCTTTCCTGTGAGGAACGGCCAACAGAGTCAATGTTTTTTAAGCCTGGAGAAGAGAAGGTTCTGTGGATTGTGTATTGCAGCCTTCTGGTACTTGTAGGGGACGTATAAGAAAAATGGAAGAAAACTTTATAGCAGGGCCTGTTGCAATAGGACAAGGGCTAATGATTTTAAACTAAAAGTGAATAGATTTAAACTAGATATAAGGGAACATGTCCCCATTCATTGCAGAGCAGGTTGACTAGGTGACTTTTCAAAGTCCCTTCCAGCCCAAGCTATTCGATAATTTTGTAATTGTTACAGAGGTTTCCTCCAACTTTGAAGAGGAAATATTACCATCCAGTTCTTGACCGCTGTCCCCATGCAGATCATCCCTCTGTCATCCCTTCCACTGTTGACATTTCCATTTCTGAGGGGTTCCCAACTCACTTTGACTGGAAGGAGTTTACATATGCCTAGATTTTTCAGGAACTACCTATGCCTGATGAGACATCAAGATGCCTGCTTAGAACTGCATCCTCTGCTTAAATGTACCTAAGAGGAGAAAAGCAGTGATCTTTTATATGGAAACCTTAGCATTTAATATATTTGCTGTCTGAGCAGAGGAAACTGGAGAACCCATGTAAAATGGGTTACCACCTGCACAGTCTCCTTTCTAGAAATCCCCTGAATTGCATTTTGTCAGGTAATTGCAGTTACTCTTGAAGGCAGAAAAACATATCAATCCCATTGGATGGGCAGGCTAGATTTTGCTGTGAAAACCCTGAGGTCTGATAAATTATAGTCCTCCTAGACTATCTAGGATTTGCTATATCATGTGTTTCATTAGAAAATTTTAAATGTGAATAGTAAAGCAGAGATATATTCCAGTTGATTGTGAAGGTAACAGACAGTTGCTTGCAATCTATTTGGAAATATTTCTCCATGGCAATCAATCCAGCGGTTGCTGTTACTTTTCATACTCTGTTCTCCGGACAACATTTCATAGTAGATATATTTTGTGTATTTTTTTGTGAGAAGGAGTCACATGTAATGTAATTATGAATGGGAAAACCAATTTGAAGTAGTAACCAGAATTCACTCTCTCTCTTGAATGACTATTTCAAATATTCTAGTGTTTTGTTTGTTTGTGAAGTACATATGGCTCTTGGAGAACCTATTATCAAAATACTCCTGTCTGAATGGTAGCCATTAAAGCTGGGAGTTTTTGTGGGGTTTTGTTTGTTCATTTGGTGATGCTTTTTTGTTGTTTTTATTTTCCCCTTCCTTTGCTTCTGTGCTGCTTTACTTAGATTCCCATATCTGCCTTGGTGTCTTTTGTGGAAGCTCTGGAGGCTGGCTACAGTAAACACAAAAATCCTTATCACAACCTAATACATGCTGCAGATGTCTCACAGACAGTCCATTACCTCCTTTTCAAGACAGGCACTGTGGTAAGTAAAAGACTTGGCATCCTGAGTATATAGTGAGTTTACAAGAGTTTCTGGTTATTAATTGAGATAATGCACAGTGGAAGCTGTCTACTCTGTAGACACACTTAATTCGATATGGCTGGACTAATAAAGGTAAAGACTTTGGATTATTTAGGAACAGAGGGTAAATGAAGTAGTTGATAACTCTTTTAACAGTTATGTTAGGATGAATAACAGGATGAATGAGAAACCCAAGCTTGGTTTTTCACTCTGCCACAGATCTTCTGTGTGAATTTGCCAACACACATTTACTGGAATTCATTTCAACTAATATGAAGAATTGTATAGTCTAAGCTTTCTTCTTAACTTAAGGTAGGGACACAGTACATCCAAGTCACATCCAAGTGATAATTCATTCCACTTATCTGAGCATAACAAGTGCTGGGATCTGGAAATGCTGACCTCAATCCACTTCTCTACAGCAAAAGTATCTGGATTGGCTTGCACAGAAACCTACAGACAGCTGAAGTCTGACAACAATGACAGGAATGAACAAGGGCATAAAAAAAACTTAGTTCCCACAGTGGCTCTCAAGACAAACAACAGAAATACATTTGAGGATGGACTAGAGAAAGTGAAGGAAGATAGTTTCCAGAGTGAAGTGATTCCATTGCAGTTTGGATTTAGCTGGAGGCTCAGAAAGTTGCTGGCCTGCAGGGTTGGTGGGAGAATAAATAGCAGGTAAAGTTCAAAGGATACTTATGTATTCATTCTATTCTTCTTTCTCCTGGCTACTGCTGCAGCCAGAAAAAAGAATGAAATTACCTTTAGTCTGATTATGTGAAGCAGATCTTTTCCCCACATTATTTGCCTCACTTTTTTCCATGCATCCAATTTGCCCTTGCTCTTGCACTGGCAGAAGTGTAGAGGCAAAAGTGATAGTGAAAGGGAGGTTAATCTGTTAAATGTTTACCAGTTATCTGCTGTTATACGAGGGCCATTCAGTGATTGTTCTGTTTGTGGCTGGTACTTGAATACATGTAATTCTGTTCTATCACACTTCATTTCTCTGAGGTCCTTTCACTAAGCAGTGTGCAGTTCCAGGGTCATGAAGTCTTTGAATTGCAGAGCAGACACATGAAACCAGGTCAGCAGATGTTGAGGCTCTTACTGCAGCTCAGGCTTTCTTGAACACTCCCCAGTTGTTACAAACTCTGTATCTGGAACTGTTGAAAAAAAGAGTAAGGAAAAACCAAGTGCCTCAGTCTAACCAAATTCTAACACTTTCTCATGCAATGAGCACCTTTGATCAGCTATAAAAAATCACTATAAAAATTGTCTGTCAGCAATGCTTGTGGTGATATTTGTTTGCTGATGATACATATTTTTGTGCAGCTCAATAACAAACCCAAAAAACTGCCACGAGTGTCTACTGGGTGATGGAGTATAAGAGAGAGAGGTACAAGCTAACAAGGAATAGTGCAGCACTTACTATGTCTTTTAGGGTAGTTTCAGCCACTGTAGAGTTGCTCACACATGGGAACTGTTTTGTGCATATGATAGGTATTTCTGCAGTTCTTTGATTGCCATAAAGGCGTTGCTTTCAATTCTGAAGCCAGAACTGGGTGTTCTTCCTTGAGGAGTCACACAATCCATAGCCTCCTGTTAACATCACAAGTTTCCTTTGTTGAATGTAGATTACATTGTGAATTGCAGTCACACGGTAATTAGAGCAGTAAATGCTGCTGTTTATCAGAAGCAGATTTGGAAGGACTTAGGTGCTATCTGTCTCAAGAGGTGATTCAGATGGGCTGATCCTGATGGAAGTTGTGTCACTTGCCTCTGATTGTGCCTGAAGTAGAATGCACTTAGGTCAGAATTGCAGCTAATACAGTTACCTACTCAAAACTGCCTGTGAGATACTAAATTGGTCACTGTTACTTTTAGGATATTAGTTACTGAAAATGCACTGCAAGCTGTAGTCAGTAGGAACAGGTGCAATGTCGAGTAATGTGATTGTATTCTAGTGGTATTCCTCTAGAATTGTATTCTAGAGGAAATGGATTCACTTTTTCACCCCAAAACAATGGAAGAAGGGCAGTTTTCATGCTCCAAAAGACTACTGGATTACAACAGTTGTCCAAATATAGCTGATCTCTATCCTATGCATGTTCAGAACTACCTTTTTTCCATCTTGCTGCTTCTTGATCTGTTAGTCATTTAGCAACAACTCAGATGTGAGTGAACGACTACTATTTTGTTCTAGCCTGTGATTCACCAGTGCTGAATGGGATTTCCTAGGCTGCCTCTGAGTGCAATAAAGCAAGGAAAGTGTTAAAAAAGAGACAAACAGAAGGACATGAAAATACATGAACAAGCAATGGAGAAATGTGGACTTTTTTCCTCTGAGAGAGAGAATGCAGCAAACTAAAAAGAAACAAAAAACCAAACCCAAAAGAACCCCCCAAAACCAAACTGAACCAACCTCTGTTTCAGAGGAAAAGATGATCTGAAATCATAGAACAAACCAGATTGGAAAAGACCTTTGAGATCATCAAGTCCAACCTATGACCTAACATTAAATTGTCAACTAGACCATGGCACTAAGTGCTACTTCCAGTCTTTTCTTAACCACCTTCAGGGATCGTGACTCCAACACCTCCTTTGGCATCCCATTGTAATCCCCAATCCCTCTTTCTGTGGAGAACTTTTTCCTAATGTCCAGCCTACACCTCCACTGGTACAGCTTGAACTGCTCTTGTCCTGCAGATAGTTGCCTCAGAGAAGACATCAACTGCCACCTGCCTGCTACCTTTGAGAGAGTTGTAGAGAGTGATCTCTCCCCTGAGCCTCCTTTGCTCCAGGCTAAACAATCCCAGCTCCCTCAATTGCCCCTCATAGGACTTGTGCTCCAGACCCTTCACCAGCCTTGCTACATTTCTCTAGACATGCTCCAGCATCTCAACATTCCTCCTAAATTGAGAGGCCCAGAACTGGACACAGTACTCAAGGTGTGACCTCACCAGTCCTCAGTACTGACAAAGAATCCCTTCCCTCATCCTGCCGGACACACTATTCCTGATCCAGGGCAGGATGCCACCGGCCTTCTTGGCCATGTGGGCACACTGCTGCCTCATGTTCAGGCTGCTGCCAGTCAGTACCCGCAAGGTCCCTTTCTGCCTGGCCACTGTCCAGTCACACTGTTCCCAGCCTGTAGTTCTGCAGGGAGTGGTTGTGACCAAAGTGCAGGATCTGACATTTGGTCTGGTTAAACCAAGTTGTTACTGTTGGATTCATTCCATCAATCCAGCCTGTGCACTTTGCTCTGCAGAGCTCTCCTACCCTCCAGCAGATTGAGATTCACACCCAGCTTGGTGTCATCTGCAAATTTGCTAATGGTAGACTCGATCCCTTCATCCAGATCATCAGTAAAGATCTTAAACAGGACTGGGCCCAGCACAGATCCCTGGGGGACACCGCTAGTGACGGGCCACCAACTGGATCCAACACCATTCATCACCACTCTCGGGCCCGGCCATTCAGCCAGTTCTTAACCCAGCAAAGAGTGCTCCTGTCCAAGCCATGGGCTGTCAGCTTTTCCAGGATTATTCCATGGGAGATGGTGTCAAAGACTTTGCTGAAGTCCAGGTAGACTACATCCACAGCCTTTCCCACATCTACCAGGCGATAAAAGGAGATAAACCTTTTATCACCTGGTGATAAAAGGAGATCAGGTTGGTTATTCATGGCTGGCCCCTCCTAAATCCATGCTGGCTGGGTCTGAATCCCAGGCCATCCTGTAAGTGCCATGTGGTCACACTCAAGATGAACTGGTGCACAACGTTGCTGGGCACTGAGGTCAGGCTGACAGGCCTGCAGTTCCCTGGATCCTCCTTTTGGCCCTTCTTACGATGGGCATCACACTGGCCAGCTTCCACTCATCTAGGACCTCTCTGGTTAGCCAGGACTGATGATAAATGATGGAGTGAAGCTTGGTGAGCTCTTCTGCCAGCTCCCTCATCACTCAGGATGGATCCCACCTGGTCACATGGACTTGTTAGCTTGCAGGTGGCTCATCAGGCCACTAACATCTTCCTTGTGGTTTTCAGGGGATCTGTTCTTCTCTGTGTCCCTGTCTACTAGCTCAGGAGGCTGGTTGTCCTGAGGATGACCTGACTTATTGATGAAGACTAAGGCAAAGGAGGTGTTAAGTACCTCAGCTTTCCTCACCTTTGGTAACTGTATTCCCCACCATGTCCAGTAAAAAACAGAAGTTTTCCTTGCCCCCCTCCTTTTGCCATTGATGTATTTATAAAAACATTTTTTATTATCCTTTACAGAAGTGAATCTGTGCAATATGAAGAAATATGTGCAGTGGTAAGAGAATGTACACATCCCAGACTTCCATCTAGAAAACAGGAACTGGAGTGCACTTGCAAGCTAGTGTGTATATGCTTGCACTGCAGCCAGTGCCTGAACTGAGCCCATTACTGCAATTAGCTACATACACAGTAGTCCATGCAAACCAGTATGATGGAGTTGTGGTCCAGAGGAGTATCTTCTGCTTCCCAGGAATATTCCCAGGAATATTCCTAATCATTCCCACACCCAAATCATGTCTGTAATTTGGTTTAGGATCAAATATAGCACAATAGGAAACCACTCCACAAACTCGCAGCACTGTGATATTTCAGCTTTTCTTCTCTTGTTTGAATGCTTTTTTAAACTTAGATTTTAGGGTTTTTTCTTTCTTCTTTGTTTTCACCTCACCTTCCTTAAACTATACAACCAATCTCAAAGTGCATAGATTAACGTAGTTTGAAAATGAGAAGTTATCAGTCCTAATGTCCTGCTGACAGCAGGGCTGGCCTCTTACATGCATAATGTGCTCACACACAATAAAGAAACATAAGATACATTTTCCTCTTTCCAAGATTTGCTCACATAACTATCTTATCATTACTGTAGCATGTATAGTTCTTTAGTTCATCACTTCTACAGTATTTATGTAAGTAACTTGGACATGTTGGAACACAAGATTTTGGTTTCAGAAGTATGTTAGGGCCATTGGTTTAATTCTTCACCAATGGGATGAAGGTCACATTTAAAAAGTTATATACAAAAATAGGAAAAAAACCCCTCATTTTTCTTGCTAATCTTTCTAGTTAATTGTAATGTGGAAAATTGCTTTTTTCATATTTAAATAGTCCATATAGTTAAAATTTGTGCTAGTCTTAGAAGTAAGAAACATGTTTCTGTTTTGTCTTCACATGGTTCATTTGCCTTTGTCATGCTCCCTGTTATTTATGAACTCTCTCAAGAGTTTTGTTTAATCTCTCATTTTTTAAAAAATTTCTTTTCAATTAAATCTTCTTTCCCTCTCCTTTCACAAAATTTCATCAGCTTTCCTGTTATTTTTATCCCTCAGGATGATGCTTTGGAGTTAGTTTGTTATACTTCACTGTATGAACTACAAAGATTTTGGCTCTTTCATAGACAAAAAGTTGAAAGAGAATTTGGAATTAATCTGATGTCTATCTGTCCTGCTTTAGGGTAAATTTGGGAGCAAATCACCAAAGGAGTTTCTTCTAGCAAAGAAGAAGTGGCCCCTATCCCAGCCAGTCTGGGAAAAGATTCCCTTGGAGAAAAGTGGAAAAAAATGTTTCTTTAACAGGCAAAGCATTCACCAGCACAAAAAAATGAACAGTATTAAACAATAAAACCTCTCACCACTCCGAAGAGATAATAAACTCACGAAGTCCCCTTCATGGGTTGTAGCTCAGCTTACTCAGTCTCTTGTCAGTCTCTCCTGTGCTGGAAATGCCACGGCCCAGGCCCGGCCCAGGGGCCACAGGTGTGAGCTGCCGGTGCTCCTCTGGGTGTTCAGTCCAGAGCTGGTTTAAACAGGTCCAAGGAAAAAAAACCCAACCAAACCAAACCAAACCAAACCAAACCAAACCAAACCAAACCAAACAAAAACCCAAAAAAAAAAAAAAAAAATCCCACAGTCCAGGGAACTTCTCTGCCTCAGCCAGCTAAAAACTAACTGAAAACAAAGGAGAGCTCTGTCCCGCTGTCTGTCTGTCCACAGACAACACAGTCCAGGGGCAGGAATGTGGAGGAGTGACCACATTGTTTGAAAACAAACTGTGCACTTCTTCTCTCCCCCCTCCCCTTTGCTCTCAGAAACAGTCTTAAAGGTGCAAAACTTATTTCTGGGCGGGACAGACAAATGGGGATACAATTCAGCATCATAAAGTCACCCCATACTATTATCTCATAGCGGATTGGCATACAAGCATGATTTGCAGGGACAGCTTCCAAGAGCTGACACACTTTTTGCTCATTTCATTCCTTCCTTTATTAAATTCTGTTGTTCAGCTCTGATTATTACTTTCTTTGGTATTGTTCTCTGATTAATCTTTATTACTGTTTAGAAATACCACAATTTCTTTTTTAACCTACACAATGGTGGGAAAATTGTAAAGCTTAAGATTTCTTTCTCTGATACTGACAAGAATTACAGGAGACTATTTCCTGCAGCAGACTTGAAAAATTGTGAGAGCGCAGGACTTCTGTCACATATTATAGTACTAAAGGGAAGTGAGATAATCTTCACCACTAGCCTGTTTTGATTAATAAGCAGATCATCATAAGTTTTGAAAATAGTACCTGCTTTTGAATAAAAGTTAATAAAGTCTTGGGAAGGAAACTAGTTAATTACATACATTGTAGCAATTTATTGGAAATGCATTCTTTTCTTGTGAGATTTGGATACACTACGCTTTTTTCTTCTTTCTTCCTTCTTTCTATATTCATCAATCCTTTTGTTTACATGGAAATGAGCCACCCTAGTAGCTAATGCTTCACATTTATTGTATATTTTTGAAAGTCAATTATGCTTCTTTGCCCTTTGTTTTAATTCTGCAAGCAAATACTTGGTGTTTCATGCCTTTTACCCTTCGCCATTTCTAACCTACTACCATCACAGAAATTTTGATAAGGTTTTATTCTGGACTGGTTTTGTTAGCCCTTTGGAAATCAAAACCATTCACATTTCCTTACTCTTTTCACCTTTTGTGACACAGTCCTGCTGGTCTTGATGGCTTTGTTCTTTAAAAATTAGCTTTCTGTTTCCATGATGAAATCTACCACAAAGCAGTGAATTGTAAAGCCAGCACTTTGATGGAGGTGGCATCCTTTCTCTTCAGGCTCTTTGCTGTCTTGTTTGCTTTGTCTTGCAAGGTTGTGGCAGGAGAAAAGGGACTGAGAGTTTCCAGCTACTTCCGTTGTGTTACTCACAAGCCTGTTTTGACTTTGTTCTACTTACACTGCTTTATTTATTACCAAAAATTAACATCTGTAATTCCAGTTTTATTCTGGGTGATCTTCCTGGAATGCTGTTATGATACTTAAAACTGCTAATAAAAGATACTGCTAATAGTAAGATTTACTATACCATATTTGAAAACCTTCCTTACCCAAAATTGTTTAACAAGAGATGATTTGGTAAGGTATGCAAGTCAGCACTTTCCCCGTATGTGCCTTAAAAGACGAGGTAGGAAACCTCAAACACTAAGACACATTGCATTTAGTGAGGCTTGGTCATGAGATGTTGTTAGTGTGGGAATCATCAGATGCTGTCCAGGTGGTCTGAAGTGGATGCGTTGGACTAGCTGAATGTGTCTTGAGACACATTCTGAGCACCTGTGCCCTGATTTTTTTCTATCATTTGCAGTCTCTCCTTTTGGGAAATGGCAGAGCCCTGTGGGCAATGAAAGTCCAGATCTAGACATGTAGCCTGAAAAGCTTAGTTCCATTTGCAGTTGCCGGGAGTTGTTGTTTGAAAGTTGAATTAATGTTCTTAGTCATTTGGTTATCATTCCTTGTTCACATGTCACATCTAGAAACAAAATTGAACAGACTTCTCCACCATCAGTGCTCTCCAGTCATATCCTGAATCAGTTGTGTGTAGATATGAGAAACAGTGACGTTTCTGTTTCTGATAATTTCTTGCACTCCTCACCATGCTCTCTCCCTTGCTATTAAAAAAAAACAAAAACAAACAAACAACCCCCCCCCAAAAAAAAACAAAACAAACAAAAAAACCCCCCAAACAAACAAAAAAAAAAAACCAAACCAAAAAACAAACCAAAACCCACCAAAACAAAAGAAACAAGCCAAACCCAAGAACTATCTTGATTATGGTCAGCAGCATTGTGCAACGTGTCTTTTCAAAAACATCTACATCTTTAATGTAAGAGGATATTTAATACTGAGACTTGCTCCATTCTTCACTGGTTATGCAGAGATGACTGTGAAACACAGATAAAGAGCTAGACAGGTTGCTGTGTGCAACAGTCCCACTGTTACCTGTGCTTCCCTGCACATGCTTAACATGCTAGTGTTGGCCCCTGAGCACTAGGAGATATGTAGAATAGATTTTGGATGCCTTAGTGCCTTTGCTGGGCCTTGCATTTAAAGGTAGTTTGTATATGAATGCCTGTCAAAAAACATTTGCAAGTTGACAGTGAGGTGTTACAGAAGTATTTGGCAGTCACTGTGGTAAAGGCTTTACTAAATGCAACACATTTAAGCATTTAATGCAAATATTTACAGCATCTACAGTATCTAAAACCTTTGACTCCTTTTCCACCTTTTCAGTGGAAAACCAGACAATAAAATTATTTGACTCAGATAAAAATTATTGAAAGCATCTGAATAATTTATAAATCTAAGGCAAAAGTGACTTAAGCATTGTCTAGGGAATTAGGAAAAATTCCACAAACTTCAGGACTTTCTCAAGTGCTTTAAAAATGATAAATAAATAACAAGAGCTATATCTTTTGTAGTTATCTTCCTTGTTCTCCTCATGATTCAGTGATTGACAAAGACTTTTGTTTTCTGGAAAATAGTGACATTCTTCTGTATCTGAGTCTCTGCTCCTCAATTAAACTGAATTGAAAATACATACCTTGGTGGTATGCGTTTACCTGCACATATATCATCAAGTTCCCCTTGATGAACCTTGGCTTTCTTGAGTTTTTCTCATTTCTCTCTTTGAAACATTGCTCTTTTAGAAGGGCACAGTTCCCCTTGCTCTGCCTTAGACTTTATTTGCTGTAGCTCAATTTACTTAGATGAAAGCCCAGGACGAACACTGGTTTGGCTTTTACGTATCAGCCAGAGAAGTTTCCTTTAAAACAGCTGTCAGACTTCAGGGGAAAGGTGATGGCATGCAACACTGACTTTCAACAGAGGATAAATAACTTACTTTAGAAGACAAAAGCCTGAGAAAATGACAACTTACCTGATTGTACTGTAAATCTCTTTTCAGCACTGGCTGACAGAGCTGGAGATCTTCGCTATGATTTTTGCAGCTGCTATACATGATTATGAACACACTGGCACCACCAACAATTTTCACATCCAGACAAGGTGAGGCCACTGTAAATCATGATGAAAGGTCAGGAATTAGAGGGAGAAATCTTTGGAGAATAACAGCACAGCCACCTTGGAAAAATGCAGCAACTTCTGCTTTCAAGTGTTGCAGGAGGAAAGTTAACTTTTTCAGGTTACATTTGATTTTCTTTTGTTCAAACATTCACAATGGAATGAATGTATTCTTCATTCCAGAGCCCTGTTTCATATTAATAACCAGGAAAAAGAAAGTTCCAAAAATATTTCCATGTAAAGTTTTCAAAGACATAAGGCTGTATAGAGTGATGTATTTTGACAAAGTATTGAAGGAGCTATTGTAATTTTACAGTTTTTTCTCCTTGTTGAATTTGAGGATTCAGACAATATTGGCATAAATCAGGCATTCAGTCATGTTTGTTACATTCATCAGTGAATATGAAAACTACACATACTATTTTCACTTGAGTGGAAAGCCACACCTGCAGCAAGGGTATATGCTTACCACTACTTAATCAGGGAAATACTTTTTTAAAGTATCATAAATTGCTAGAGCATAATTAACTGATCACAACCTAGACGGAGCTATGTATTTTATAAAGCTTTTGAGTTGATGGAAGAGAGGAAAATAAGATGAAGATGGCAGCAAAATTCAAAAGCATGCAAAATTATGAAGTCTCTAGTTTCAGTGATAATTGGATTTCCAATGTCTCTGTATAATTTTGATATTAGGAGTGTACTGGTAGAAATGTCAAAATGTCTAAATGTCCTCAACTGACACTTCACGCTTGGGCATTTTTAAAATGCATTGTAATTAAATTAGATTACATGTTTGTAATTAAAATAGATGTCTGTAGTGTGTTAGCTGAATCATGCTGTGCATCAATAATAGTTTCCAGGATAAAGCACACATATGCACACTAAAGACTGGGAATGTAGAAAGAAGTCTCTGTCTCTATTTTGGGTGAAGCCACACTACTCTTCTTACAACTTAATGCATACAGGAATTAGGGATCTGCTGTACTTTCCAAATACTTGTAAAAATATTCAAGGAAGGACAGTTGTAATTTAATTTTTCTAACATTAAACATCAGATGGTGTGAAGTGTCAGGGAATAAAAATATACCCTGCTCTCTGTGAAGCAGATATGAGTGACAACTATAACAAAACATATCACCTTCTGTTGCTGTTAACTTCTTTGTCTTCAGACCAGTTTACCCATTCATCAATCACAGATCTCTGCTCTGGGACTTAACATCAGGCACGAGGTACCTTTGATCCTACTCTGTCCCACTGACAATTGCCTTTCCAGGCAGCATAGTCTAGCACACAGATGTCAGAAATCAGTTCAGTTATATCTTGCTTACAGTCAGTTTGCTGTTCTGGAAACTGTATTGGGTCACATCGTGCAATTGCTTACTTGGGTACAGTCAGATTTTATTACCATAGAGACATCCATAAGAGCTAGGAAAAAGCCTCATGGTTCTACTCTAAATTTATATATCTCTCACAGCATTCAGTACTTGTTTTCAAGTATGTAACAAGGCAGTTAGGTGAGTCTCATCTGGTGAAATAGATTTTTCAGTGTTCTTTAGATTTCTTTTACTGAGTAACAGCAATTAACATAGTAGTACAAGAACTTTTAAAATGCTCATATCTATTCTATAGACTTAATTGCTGTAGCTGATCAAAGGAAAACTTCTGAGTCTCTTTAGACAGGGAAAAAACAACCTTTCCCATGTTTTCTTTTAAATGCTAGGTCAGACTCAGCCATTCTATATAATGACCGGTCTGTGCTTGAAAATCACCATGTTAGTGCGGCGTACCGTCTTTTGCAAGATGATGAAGAGATGAATATTTTATCTAATCTCTCAAAGGATGATTGGAGGTAAAAATGAGCATGGTGGCTGCCTAGGAATGTTGGAGCACCATCATAGACTGGTATTACCTTGTTTGAATAGAAATATGCATTATTGTATATTGCATATTAGTCTTTCTATACTACAAGATAAAGAACTTTAAAAGGTGTTTGTTTCGTTTATTCCTGCTTTCAATTTTCACTTTTGATAGTAAGACTAGATTTTGTGACAATGAGTTATAGGATACATGGGTCGGCTCCCATATAATTATTAAGTATCACAGAGACACTCTTTGTATACATATAATTGAGTGTAGACCTAGCCTGCTGTTTCTTTGTCCTAAAGCATAAATATAACCTTTATCTAATTTAACACTTCCTGTCTGGAAATTATAAATGGGACTTAAAGCAAAACATAATCCAGTCCGGGGAGCATAGATCTACTACATATGCTTAGAAGATTTAAGAAGCTGTAATTTAAAATAAGCCTCATGAAATATATGATTTATGTGCCAAAATGAGCCCATGATTAACTTTCTAATAGCCCATGATTAACTTTCTAATAGTTCAAAGTGAGTTTTCTGTTTTTCATGAATTTCAAGGGGTGATAATTTAAAAATAGCCTAGTGTGCTAGACAGGAAGGATCCAGCCCCATGGTCTTTTTCATGGGAGAGGAAGCAGCTTATGAAATCCTATGTGACACACAGTGTCTTCTACATATTCTTACATGTAACATAGTGCTGCGTAGTTGTTTAATCTAATTTTAATGTAAATGTGGGGAAATAAGCCTGCCTCTGGGGCTGACTTCTACCAAGATGGTCAGTGAAGGCTCTGTTTGCTAAAGTGTTTCGCCTGAGTTTCTTATTTATTTCAACTTGTCGACAGTAATTTGATCCTATAGTCAAACACCAGGAATTTATAGGGATGATTTCAGTCAATGTTGTGGAGGAGTGCCCTGAAAATTCTACCCTCCAATATATAGAATAGTGTCATGATGGGCAGCAAAAAGGAACAAAAAGAAAATATCTCCACTGCGATGTCAAAAATCTATTTTATGTACAAATGGAAATGCCTTGGCAAATATTGGCAGAAAATTACTGCATCATTTAATGTTAGTGACAAAACACAAGGAACTAAGTTACTAGAAACATCAGTTTTAGAGCCACTGTCTAAAAGGAAAAGTCATGTTTTGTAGTGGAGCAATTAATTGATTATGCTTCATTGCATAGATACTGACTTTAGGTAGACTTTAGCCTGATTTTGAGCTTTAAACTGTTTAAAGTTTCTGATTGAATCAAAGCCAATTTCAGATATTTCTCATTGATTCTGTAGTGCCAATATGTGTGTTCTGCTGATACAATGTGCTTAGAACCAAAGTTGCAAATATTAACCCATCCCTTTAAAATATATTTTGACTGCTTGAGCAAAAATATTCAGTGCTTTGCTTCATATTGCTTATTTGTTCTCTCTCCAGTATGATTTTATAGCTGGTGATCAAACAGCAGTGCTGAAAAATAAAGGACATTGTGTGGAAGTGCTGTAATTCCAAAACATTGTGATTTCTACGTGCTTTTTCTTTTGACTGCCACTACAAAATCCCGTAGGCAAACATTTGGGAAGCGCTGTAAACATCAACTGACTTCAGCAAAGTCTGTTGAAACATAAAACCCAAGAAGCCCAGAGTTTCCCCATTCTAAGACTTAAAAGTAGGACCCTCAGTATTGAAAGATGATTTGGGCAACTAATATGATATGCCCAAATTAAACTTCACATTTGTAGACTGATAAATATCCCTCTGCAAAAGGCCTAAGTGATGTTTTTGGAATATAATACTTGAGTACCTTTCTGAGCTGAGCCCTGACTCCTTTTTTCACATTACTGGGAAAAGAAAACCTGATGATCTGCAATCCTAAATATCTGTGTGGATTTTATAACTTTTGTGTATTCTGTCATCTAATTAGAGAACATATTTTTCAGGAAAGATACATAGAAAATTGGAGACACATTTCACAGTTGAAAAATAAATGGCCATGGATTTTGTAAGAAAAGCAGATGAGAATGGAAGAGAACTTTTGGGCTACAGTCAAGAAGAAAAGAGTTGAATGCTTACTAGTGCTTAAACAACTTTTTTTTTTTCTTCCACAGAGAAATATATATATTTCTCTGGTGCTTATTAAATATTAGGAAATTAATTGAGTTGCTGCATTTGGTGAATCCCATTCGTTCAAGTTATAAAACGAAAAAACTCTAACAAACCAGATCACAGTGAGCTAAGAAAAACTGCAAATTGAACATATGTTTTCCAATATAATGTTACAGATGTCTTTTTTGACACTGTATTTAATTGTTAGTGAGTTCCACACAGTTTATTAAAATCTTTATTGTCAAGTATAAAATAAAAATAATAGTAAAAATAAATTAATAAAAATAATTTTTAAAATAAAATAAAGAGGTTGAATAAAGGCTGAATAAAAAGATATCTACAAAATGTTTAGTTGTTTAGCTTTGTATAGGAGTACAACTTCAGCAAGTAACTTTGAATTTAATACTAACTTTCTCAGTAAAGCTGCCTGGTGTTTTGTCCCTCAAATAAATCTGAACCCTCCTTGTCAATCACTTTTATTTGTTTTAAGATTGTGGTGAGAAACTATGATTTTTTTCCTACTGATTTTGGTCATATGCTTTTTTTTCATAAGTAATAGTGTGTGAATGGTGGCAGGATCATGTAACATTTTCTTGTAAAATTTTGTTCCTTTGCACTCAGGATGGGCACATGCATATTCTGAGTTTTATACCTTTAGTGAGAATTAGCCAATGATGATATTTCTTCTAATGTAGTGTTTTCCTAATTATTTCTGTAATAATAAAGTTCTGAGACTTTGACTGAACAAAATTAGCCACATAGATCAGTTCAGGAGACATAATTATTGTAACTGTGCAGTAAGTTTTCCTGTTTTAGACTTCTATAAATTCTTGTCACTGTTAGCAGACTTCATTGCCTGTGGGTTTCTATGAAAGCCAGCTTAGCTTGTTTGCTGTGAAGACTGATGGAGATCAGCATCTTTAGATTGTGGCTTTTGTTTTCTTTGAGAAGTGGAATTATCCTTTGAATTATCTCAGCTTAGTGAGAAACCTGAAAAAAAATGATGCCACCAGTGGGTACTGTGTGATGGAGTATAGAAGAGAGAAGTGCAAGCTAATAATGTGTAGTGCAGCTCTTGGTGTGTCTTTTAGGCCAGTTTCATCAACTGTAGAGTTGCTCACAGTTGGGAACAACATTGTGTGGCTATGATCTGCATTTCTGCAGTTCCTTGATTGCCACACAGGTGTTGCTTTCAATTCTGAAGCCAGAACTGGATGCTGTTCCCTGAGAAGTGTCTTGGTTAGAGACAATTCATGGGGTGGAGCTTGGGAAACAAGCTACCTTCTTTTTTGGTTTAACCACTCCCCTGTCACCAACAAAGAGAGACAAATGCAAGAAGATATAAGTTGAAAAGTAAGTTCGCTAAAATAAACCCAGCCCTAATCAAGATAACAGTAATAACCACGAGATACAAAGTTCTGAATCCTATGGACTTCCACAAGAACAAAGAAAACAAGATGGCAGAGATGCCCCTCCCCAATATGGAGACTTTTGTAGAAGACAACATCAGCCAGACAACAAAGACAAGATGGTGGAGAAGATCTGTTCTCCCAACCATGTGATAGAGAGACAGAGGAAAGGAAAAAAAAAACCAAAAACCAAACAGCAGTACAACTGAACCTCCCTGATTACAAAACTCCCTCTTGCCTCAAACAACAATGAAGGGGGAACAAGGATAAAAGAAAGGAAACCTGGAGAACTTGGGGAGCTACTCTTGTTCAAAACCAGTCAAATTTTACTGAACCATTTGCTCCATACCACCTGACAGGGTTTCTCCTAGTGGTGGCAGCTCTGTCAACAGTGGCAACTGGATCTGGGGCAGCAGGTGAGTTACAAAGCTGTAACTCATGGAGGAGGAGGGGAGGATCAATTTTCAAGTATGACTATCCTGCATGGCAGTAGCAAAAACAAAGCTCCCAAAAAAAGAAAAAGTCCTATTCCAGCTGCAGGGACAGGGATTCCTTGTGGCAACTGTGACCAAAAAAGTTGTTAGGACATTTCCTCCAAAACAGTCTAGGATTAACAAATGCAGTTTCTCAGAGACCTGCACCAGGCAATTTTCCACAGAGTTCGGAGAGAAACTAAAGAATCCTTCTGCTTCTCTCTGCCCTCGCCCAGAGAGTATGCCCAGGAAACTCTCTTGGCAGCCCACAGAGAAACAAGAAAGAGAGCTCTGCCTGTGTTCCCCCACTTTTAAAGGGACCCTGGCACCTCCAGTCTCCATGGACCCAAAACACTGGTTCTGGATCCACTTCTGATCCCTGGGTCTTAATGAGACAGTAACACAAACTGCATGGACTGTCATAGAGGAATAATAGAATACAATTCACATTTTTTGGGTCGCCCACCCAAGACTAGCCACTCTTTATTCCATATAATCTATATCATGTCCCAATTAATATATTTTAACTATATATATATATATGTACATACAAACAACTATATACAAATACAGGTATTGTTTCAGTAGTCACTGATTGTTCCCCCAAGATGTGGATTGAGTTCATTTTGTCCATGACTGATCTAATGGGAGCAGTCCATTCTCACTGTTCTTGTTATTTCCAACATGGAGTGGCATTGCCATTCAGCAACAAAAGTTACATATGCAATTCAACATTACAGACTGTTCTCATCCAAAGTCAAATCCCCTCAAGGTACATGACATGTTTCCCTGTCCCTCTGCATTACCCACCATGTGTAACCAGGTCCTCAAGTAAAAACAACCCCATGGCAGCATTTGCCTTTGCTTGAAGTGGGATTAACCCAAACTGTTTTTCCTGACTAGCTTTCATACGCATCATGAGACATTATCTCCATCTATTGTGCACAGAGGTAATGACTGGGCCAGTTCAGTTAATTGAACCTCTGGTGTTAACTAACCAGATAGATAGCCTTTGCTAAATGCAGATGCCACAGCTTGAAGGCCCCATAAATCATTGCCTTCTGTGTTGTTTTTAACAGTCCATTGCTCTGCTTGACTTCCCCAGCAGCTGGTACAGGTATCTGTCTATAAGACTATTTATGGAATGAGTCCCATTGTCTGACTTAATTCTTTCAGGCGTGCCATGTTGCTATAGGGCCTGTTTTTCAAGGCCCAGCACAGTGTACTGGGCAGTGACACGAAGCAATGGGGTAAGTCTCCAGCCATCCAGTGGTAGTTTCTACCGTTGTGGGCACATAGCATTTGCCTTGGTGGGTTTGTAGCAGTGAGATATAATCAATCTGCCAGGCCTCCTCATACCTATATTCAGACCAATGGTCCCCATACCACAGAGACTTTACCTGCTTGGCCTGCTTGATTGCAGCCCATGTCTCACAATCATGGATTACCTGGGATATAGTGTCTGTGGTCAAATCCACCCCTTGGTCACAAGTCCATTGGTGTGTTGCATCTCTTCTTCCCTAATGACTTGAGGAATTATGGGCCCACCAAGCTAGAAATAACTTATACTTGTGTTGCCAATCTATATTTGCCTGAGACACTAATTTTGGCAGCTTGCTCTACCTGTTAATTGCTGTGAATCTCACAGTCAGCTTGACTCTTAGGCACATATATATCCACATGACAAACTTTCATGATCATTTTCTCTACCTGGTCAGCAATGTCTTGCCATACTTGAGCAGCCAAGATGGCTTTTCCTCTGTGCTGCCAATTGGCTTTTAACCAACTTTTCAGCCACCTCTATAAAGCATTTGCTACCAACTATGGGTCAGTGTAGAGATAGAGTTTTGGCCACTTCTCTCACTCAGTGATATCCACAGCCAGTTAGATGGCTTTCAGCTCTGCAACGTGACTGAATTCACCTTGTGTATTGGTAGCTTCCACAACTCACTGTTTAGGGCTCCATAAAGCTGCTTTCCATTCCCTATTAGACCCTCTGATACATCAAGAACCATCAGTGGAGAGAGTGTATTGCCTCTCACTCTCTGATAGCTGCTTACAGGGTGGGGTCTCCTCAGCATATGTCACCTACTCATCTTCCTCTTTAAATGATAGTCCCAAATTCTCACCTTCAGGCCACTTCAGTATGATTTCCAAGAACCCAGAGTGATTAGGATTTCCTGTCTAAGCTTGCTGTGTGATGAGAGCCATCCGCTTACTTCATGTAGCATCAGTGGCATGACCTGTGGAAGGGACTTTCCATTTTGATATCCAGCCCTGCACTGGTAGTCAGTGTGTGAGAATGACCAGTGCTTCAGTGGTAATCACTTCTAAGGTGGCTCAAACCTCTTCATAATCTGCTAAGATCACTTTTCCTGTTGGGGTGTAGTTGGCCTCATATCCTTTGTATCCCTGAACCCAAAGGTCATCCTCGAGTTTCTCCAGGCACCTTCTGCCAGAGGCTCCAGGACAGACCATTCTTCCTGGCTGCAGTGTAGAGCAAGTTCTTCTCATTCTGTCCCATCCTGACTGACCCAAGGGCTACTGCATGGGCAATCTGTTCAAAGTACTGTGGTTGTTCCACATGAAATAATTTTTCTTCTGTGTCACAAGGTAGAGAGGGCTTACAATCTGGCTGTACCCTGGGATTTGCATCTCCACAAAATCCATGTTGCCTAGGAAAACTTGTGTTTCCTTCTTGTTGGTCAGAGGGGAAATAGTAGCTATGTTGCTAATCACTTCTTCTGGAATTTGTTGATGTCTGTCTTGGCACTTCACTCCTAGCAACTGAATTTCTTGTGCAGGTCCCTTGACCTTACTTTGATAGCAAAACCGACTTTGAGGACAATGTGGATTATTTTTTCCCCTTTCTCAAAAACTTCCTGTGCCATTTTTCCTCAAAGGATCATGTAATCAATGTACTGTAGATGTTCTGGAGCTTCACCTTTTTCCATGGCAAATGGTGGGACTCTGCTTTCACCCCTGGGGTCATTGTTTCCAGGTGAAAGGAATGCCCCTCCAAGTGAAAGCAAACTTTGGCCTGCACTCTGCTGCTAAAGGAGTGGAGAAAAATGCATTAGCAATGTCAATGGTGGCACCACTTTTTTGCCTTGGACCACAGTTCATACTGAAGTTCTGGCATGTCTGACTCAGTGGGGGTGTGACTTCATTCAGGCCATGATTAGTTGCTGACTGCTCCCTGGATCTCCAGTAATGGATCATCTTACAGATGGGAATCACAGTCTCAGTCAGTGTGGTATTGTCAATGGTGCACTGTTTTGGCAGCAGCTGGTACCTGCTCTTCTTCAGCCCTCAGGTGTCCTACTGAAGAAAGGTCCCTTAAAAGACTAGGTAAGGTGTTTAATTGTTTACTGTCTTCTGTCTCCACAGCAGCTATCCCAAAAGCCCAACAAAGTCCTTTTGGGTCTTTGAAATAACTACTCCTAAGGTAATCTATGCCAAGAATACATGGAGCCTCTGGACCAGTCAAAATATGTTGTTTTTTCCATTCATACAGTACATTGATGACATGATCCTTTGGGGTAAAATGGCACAGAAAGTTTTTGAGAAAGGGGAAAAAATAATCCACATTGCCCTCAAAGTGGGTTTTGCCATCAAACAAACGCTGTTAACTATGCAACTGATTGTACTTATGGGTTGGGAGGAGGAGGTGGTTATAGGGGGGGAAGATCAAAGCAAACTGATGCCATCAGTGTTGCAGAACTGTGATGGTGAAGCATCCATTATGTGCCACCCATGGGATTAGGTAAACACAGCAGTCTTGGGCCTGTGCACTGTGGTGGCCTGGGGCTGGAATTTGAGCACAGCTACTATGAGCAAGAGAGGAATCATCAAAATAGCTTTGTGAGACAGGGACTGTTCATAAAAAGGACAGTAGTGATTTCTTTTAAAATGAGTGCTGACCCATTTCAATCTTCAAAATCTTGAGCTGGTATGCTAAACTTGAGCTGTTCTTCCTCTGGTAATCTGTAGAGACTGAATTGAGAGAAAGAGAAAATAAATTTGTATTGTGTGCTAGATCACAACAATTCTGATATTTAAAACTGTTTAGGAACATCCATATCACCTTCAGAGAAATTTCAACTGGAGCCTAAACTACTGTTGTAATACTACTACTAATGGTGATGATGATAATTATGATAAGAGTAATGAAAATATGAGAGAGAGAAAAATAACATCCAAGAGAAACAAGTGATGAACAATACAATTGCTCACCTCCTGCTGACTGATGCCTAGTCTGTCACCAAGCAATGATCACTGGCTCCAGTTTATATATTGGGCATAACGTTCTGTGATACAGAGTATGTCTTTGGCCAGATGGATCAACTGTCCTGGTTATGCTCCCTCCCAGCTTCTTGTGCACCTGCTCACTGTCAGACTATGGGAAACTCCAAAGTCTGTGTTTTGGAGTAAGTACTACTTATCAACAACAAAATCATCAAGCGTGTTATCAACATTATTCACATATTAAGCCCAAAACACAGCATTGTACTAGTTAAGAAGAAAATCAACTCTAGTCCAGAAAAACAAAACAAAACAAACAGGACAGCAAGTTTGCTTTACAAAATCTCATACTGGAATATTTTGAATTAATAATAGCAGGGAAGTAGTGCAGGTTCTCAAAGGTCTTTATTTCATATATGCATCATATATACTAGGCAATTTTTTAATGTGGCGAGTTTCCACCATATAACTCAACTTTAAACATGCATATTGACCAGTTGAATCAAGGTACCTGATTCTGAGGCTTTAAACAGTCTTATCCCTTCCTTCTAAGAATGGCCTAGAGAAGAAAACAATTTAGGAAGTTTGTGCTTAATTGAAAAAGGAATACTAATACCAATGTGCTCTTCAGAAAACATCTAATATTTCTCTTACCAAAGATTAGCCACCTGGCTTCATTTGCATAACTCCCCTTTCTATGTTTGTGCAGAAAATCCTTCATCCTCTTCCCCACCCCTGAAAAGAAATGAAGAGTTACATACAAAAGCATTACTGCCAATAATTCGCAGATAACAAAAGAGACTGGAGTGTGTCTGATGGTGGTTTTTGTGCTTCTCTTTCCTTGCTGCCCTCACTGTGATGCTATCCAAAAGGGAATTTAGAGCTCTAGTCATTGAGATGGTGCTGGCTACCGATATGTCCTGTCACTTCCAGCAAATCAAAGCTATGAAGAATGCTTTGCAGCAACCAGAAGGGTGAGTCATTTCACAACATAGCCCAGTGAGGGGGCTGCATTTCAGCTGGTGCTTTGCCAATGTGCTAAACTTCAAAAGCACCTCTTCAGAATCCCTCTCTTTCTTTGATATCTACAGCAATTTTCTTTTTGATGGTGAATTTTGAATTATTTCACTTATGAAGGGATGGGCACATGCCTACATGCACATCTATATTCTGTGCTGGTGGCCCAAAGCTTTCAAATGTCACCGTTGTTGGGACCAGTCTCATTGGGCATTTCCCTGGTGGGTAACATCAAGGACATGATTCATTAGAGTAACCTCTATAATTGAGTATGACTTAGGTTATAAGACCTGCAGAACATAACTTGCTCTTTGGCCTCATGCAGATGGTATCAGCTGTCACCCCCAAAAAGGGACCTTCTTCATAAACAGAGAACAGATGAAAACTTGAGATCCACTGAGGGAAGGACTGGAAAATAACAGATGGAGCAGTATGGGGAAAGCCTTTTCTTCTTCCCAGTATGCCACTGGGAGCTGTAGTATTTTGTCCACAGCTTTTTCCCAAAAAATCATTTTACATTGCCTTGAGTGATGGTCATTTATTCACCCTGGACACAGTTATACCAGAATTATACCTGTATTAGAATTATATCAATATCAGTATTATACCTGTATCAGTGCGGGGTGTTGCTGGCCATCTGATCCCCTCAAAAGCTACAACTCCTTCAACCATTTTGGATAGCCAAAAAACAGAATTTAAAAATGAAAGCACCCATACCAAGAAAGCATTATTTACTGGGTTCATGGGCTAGCCTCTTAGGTTATGATAATCAGAAATCATCAGCACTTTTTTTCTGTGAAATCAGGATTCTCTTCTGTACTCATACTAGTTTTCTATCAGAGAAAAATGTATCAGTTATTGTCTAGATTTGTCAGAACCCCAGACATCCCCACTGTTCATTAGAGTGGGATGATAGGGACCATTTTCTCTTCTAAGCTGAATAAAATACAGCACTGATTAAATGGGGAGCACAGGAGCTCTTCAAGACCATAACCTAAGAGGCTAGACCATGAACTCAGTAAATAATGCTTTCTTGGTATGCGTGCTCTCATTTTAAAAATCTTTACAAGCAAGCCTGTAAAGTTTCTGAGCAAAGCTGGGCAATATTTCTTTTTGCATTTCTTAGTATCTCTTTTAAACCAGGTATCATGTATGTTGGAGAAATAAGACAGTCTTTCAGAGTTGTTTGATTTTATGACCAAAGAAACCACTTCACAAATATCCTGGCCAAAGATTATAATTACCTTATTTTCCTGTAGGTAAGATTTTTGTCATTCTTCCCTGCAAGAGCAGACAATTAATTTTTTTGATCCTTTGGGTTTTCAGAATTGACAAGCCGAAAGCCTTATCACTGTTATTACATACAGCAGATATCAGTCATCCAGCCAAGGCCTGGGATCTCCATCATCGCTGGACCATGTCTCTGCTAGAGGAGTTCTTCAGACAGGTAAAGCTAGGGAAGTTCTTTTCTTTTCTGCAGTGAAGAGGGAGTGTGTAGGATTGGGTGAGAAAGTAGGAAAATGTTAACACGAATATGTTTCTTTTTCTCTGATGTTTTTAAGACCCTCCCAAATAGTATGGATCTTTCTCCTCTAGCACAATTAGCACTGGCTATTATGCCTCTTAGGCATAGGAAGCTAGTGTCTGAAACATTCCCTATAGATTTAAACATTACCTACATAGAAGAAATTCTAATTTGGGAAGCTAATAAGTCTTTCAAATTAGGAAAAGATGGAATATATGTCACTCAGCTCTAGAACCACGAAACCATGTTTGTGTAGCTGTACTTTAGAGAACTCTACTTACATTGTTGGAATGGATGTGAAAAAGGCCTAGTTTGGCCTTACTTTAAAAGAAGTGAACTGATCAAAATTATAGTTCATAGTGGATCACCTGTTGACAGACCCACAAATCTAGACAAATCATTGAGCTCTGTGTGATGATTATAAGGTTCTCAAGTGATTAATAAAAAGTATTTAAAGAATTAAAAAAAAAATAAGTAACAGCAAACAGAGCACTTAAGGAGTGTATAGGATACTTTTCTCCAGTGTGAATTGCTGACCTAAGCAGTGCTAGCACTTAAGTGCTTATTTTCTCTGCAAAGTCCAATTACTTTATGTTCTATAGTAAATCTAAATGCAAAAGGGAAAAATATGACAATTCTTTAAAAGCTCAGACAATTTTAAAAAATGGTATTTGTTTTTAAAGACACTGCAGTAATCCCTGTTTTAACAAGGATATTGCAAAAATTTGCTTTGAAATTATTCTTTTGGTTTGTTTTTCAAACCAAGAGTTGTTTTACGGGGTGGAAGCAGATAGCTCATACCTGCAACAGATTCTGTCTTGCCACACAGGAGGCTCATGCATGTAGGATGATGTTAACATGAATTTTAGGGAAATTCTGTGCATATTTATGCTTTTCTAGCTCAAAGTTATACTAGATGTGATAAAATACATGACTGCCAAAGACTTATGAGGAAATTAAGATTACCTCACTTTAGGATGTGAGACCACAAAACCTCCAAGTTTTGATTTATTTTACACATGTAATGAAGACAATCTATTATGTTATATGTTTTAAAGAGTATTTTAATTTCAGCCAAAAAATTCTACCCTAATTTAATAGACAGATTTATTTTTTTTAGATAATGCTATATATAAAACTCATATTCTTATTCCAAATTCAGATACCGTAATAATTTCCTCTTCAGGAAAACCATTAAGCTTACCATGAAGCATAGACTTGTGTTCATTGAAGTTATTGAGTACTAGATCAATAACTACACCCCTACTTAATATTAGAAGAAAAACACACATCTCACAAATTGCTGTCCTAGCTCTGGCCATGACAGAGTTACTTTTTGCAGTAGACAGGAATTGGCATGGCTAGGACCTGGAGGTTATTCTATCTCACTTCATTTTCCAGGGATGAAGGAAAGGCTGTTTTATGAGTTGGGGTGGTGTTCAGTGAGCATTTGCATGTGAATCACTTCCTCTCTCTTGAACTTTCTTATCTCATTGCTGTTTCCAGTAGATGATTGTTATTTCAATTGCTAATCTTTACCTTTGTGCCTCCAATTGTCCTTTCCAGCCCACTGCAGGGGAAGAGGAAGGGAAAGGGGAAGAGAGGAGTAAGTGAGCAGTGAGCAGTGAGCAGTGAGCAGTTGAGCAGTCATGGTTTGGAGATTTTTGGTGGGAGTACTAAATTTAAGAATACCATTCTTAAACCAAAACAGCCTAGTTTGGCACCCACTGTGGGACTCAAAAAATGGAGATAACAGCAGATGTGGCCCCAGAGTGTTGGAAACAAATTTGATCTAGGTATTTGGTTTACTATGTATGGAGTGGTCACAGTGTTGCTTGGTCTGTTCACAAGGGTGTGGTACCTAACCCTGGTAGTGAAGCCATGCCACTGGGATCCCTGTCCTGGGTGTGGGCATTGACAAAGGGATTGGGAAGAGGACAGAAACTCTTAGCCTCTGGAGCAGCTCCCATCAAGTGTGAGAGAAAGGTATTAATTCTTGCAAGTGTGTTCTAGTAGTGTGGTCAGGCAGGGGGAAAGCTGTGGAGAAATGTATCTAGTATCTGAAGGAATTAGCTGCACTGTAGGTACCTATAAGGGTTCAAGCAACAAGCAGTCCCTTGCAGACTCAGATCAGGTCCAGCTTACACAATACATGTGGCAGAAGTTTGTATGCAGCACACCATTGTTGTACACAAACTCATTAGCATTGATATCAATGAAGGAAAGATAATAAAGAGGGCTTCAGGTGACTACACTACTATGGCAATATAAAATAATTTTTTTCCTTCCTGGCTGCGGACAGACTCGAAAAATTCAAGCATGTTAGAGGGGAAATTTCCTATGCCCCTCCAGTATGGGCCACAATCTCTGGAAAAGGCACGCACCATGAGATAACCTGCAGTTTTACTTGACCCCAGAGAAGACATGAGGAAGTGGGATGGAAAACCCAACCCTACCCTAGCAGCACAAGTGTGTGAATTGAGAGGAAGGACAACCACCACAGAAAATTCTTCAAGCATAAATGCTGCTCCAGTTTCCAGTGGGCTAGTTGTCAGACACAATGGAATGGAATCCATTCTTCTGATCCTATTGAAAGGACATCCAGTTCACATTTACAAGACATGAACAATGACTACTATGACTAGAACTAGAGGGGCTCTGCCTCCAGCAGGAGGAAAGGGACAACCTGATCAATTGGACTGTATGGATCTGATGGCTTTGTGCATCAGACCTGCAAGAGTATAAGGCTTTAGTTGACATGGGCACACCTGTACCCTGATGCCATCAAGATCTGTAGGGACATGTTATAAATGATCAACAAGAAAGCCAAATTAATAAATGCAAAAGATTTTATTTTTGCGACTGAAAATACAGTCCTCAGAAGCCACATTCAAAGAGAGAGCGTCGAGCCTGGGATCGACACTGGGTGAACCTAGATCTGACTTCTGTCACATCAGATCTCCCTCTGCTCATGAATGCCATCTCCGGCAGGGCTGTTTTATACATTTTTTTATGCCTGATGCAGAGGTGCCCCGATTTCTTTTGTTACTCTGCATATGTATGAAGTTTCTAAAATTTTAATGTGCAGAGTTGGACAATTGCTGTTTCCTGGGTAGTGGCGGGCACTGATCATGTCAGGGGAAGTCGTGTATTCAGATGTATGTTTCTTGAAGACTTCAGTTATCTTGATTGATGGTATCTATCAAACACTGATCGTCCTTGGGTGTTCCCTGATGGTTCCGAGGGAAGCCCATCTCCACACCAGCCACGTTCTTTTATTAGTAAACAAGTCATTCTTCTCCTGCTGCCACCAGGAGTTTCATAACTTCAGTGTGGTAATCTGTCTCCAGGTTGTCTGTGGTCAGAGCCTCACTGGATGTTAAATTTATTTTACATTTTTTTATTTTTATACTTTTTCCCCCAAAGCATGAATTACTTTACATTATATATTACAGACAGAATCTATTTCTGTGTCTGTGGTGACAGGGGATCCCAACAGATGAATGTACTGGAAACAAAAGCAGAAATACCCCATTCTGATTAGCGCAGAGGTCCTGAGTGTCCTTGACATAGATTCACTCAGGAGAGCGTATTTCAAGGACCCAAGAGGGCATTGTTGGGCTTCTGGGATAGCTGCTGTGGAGACAGAGGAAATTAGATAGCTGAACACCTTGCCTGGTCTCTCAGAGGACCCTTTTGCTGTGGGACTGCTGAAGGTTAAAGAGCAACAGATACTGATCACTGCCACAGCAGTGCATCATCAGCAATACTGCACCAACCGGGACTCTGTGACCCTCATTCATGAGATGATTCATGAACTGGAAAGCCAGGGAGTGGTCAGCAAGATTCACTCACCCTTTAACAGCCCCATATGGCCAGTGTGTAAGTCCAGTGGAGACTGACAGTGGACTATTGTATCCTGAACACAGTCACAACAGCACTGAGAGCTGTTGTGATGGATATATTTGAATTTAAGGATGATTTGGCGTCCAAGACAGCAAGATGGTGCCATCATGTACACTACTAATGTGTTTTTCTCAATTTCTTTGTCAAGAGAATGCAGGCCACAGTTTGCTTGTACCTGGAGGGGTGTCCCCTACACTTGAAACTGATGACCCCAGGAGTGGAAGCCCCACTGTTTGCCATGGACTGATTCAAACTAAACTTCAAAAGAGTGGGGCTCCAGAACACTTGCAACATGTTGATGACATTATTGTATGGTGCAACGCAACAGAGAGAGTTTTTTTGGAAAAAAACCATCCTCCTGAAGGTCAATTTTGCCATAAAGCAAAGTCAAGGGACCTACCCAGGAACATCAGGTTTTAGGAGTAAAATAGCAAGATGAATATCATCAGATTCCAGCGGATATGTCAAAAACATAGCAACTATGTCCTCACCAGCCAGCAAGAAGGAAACACAAGCTTTCCTCAGTACTGTGGATTTTAGAAGGATGCATATTCCAGATTACAATCAGATTGTAAACCCTCTCCAACAAATTACCCAGAAGAAGACACATTTTAAGTGGGGTCCTGAACAGCAACAAGATTTGTAACAAATTAAACAGGAGATTCCTTGGGAGCAATAGGCCCAGTTAGGGCAAGACAAAATGTGAAAAATGTGCTGTACACTGCAGCCAGGGAGCATGATCCTTCCTGAATCTCTGGCTGAAGGTACCCTGGGAGACTTGAAGAAAACCCCTGTGATTCTGGAGTCTGGAATACAAAGGATATGAGGCCTGTTATGCCTCAGCTGAGAAGAGCTACTGGCAGTTTATGAAGAAGGAGTTCTAACTGCTTCAGAAGTGATTGTCACTGAAGTACAGCTCTTCGTGGCACCCTGATAGTCTGTTTTAGGCTGGATATTGAAAAGGAAAGTCCTCTTCACACATTCAGATGGATGCTAAGTGGTCTGTGCTGATCACTCAGAAACCCCTAATTGCCCAGGGATATTGGCCTGAAGGCCCACAAATCACGAATTGGCCTCAAGGCAAAAATTTTAGACTATTATCATCATTGGAGGAAGAAAAGATGACATGTGCTGAGGAGCTCCTACCATAGATATTCAGCTATGGTAGGAGCTCCTCAGCTCCTAAAAAAAAGAAAAAGTGATATGCACTCTTTACTGATGGCTGTTTTGTAGGAATATACTGAAAATCAAAAGCTATTGTGTGGAGTTCTATGTGATGAGTTGCAGCAATTAGACAAAGTGGATCTAGGCTGCAGAGTTGTTAGATGTCCAGCTGGCTTTAGATTTTTCTGAATGAGACAAATGGCCAGTGCTCTACCTCTACACTGATTTGTGGATGGTAACAAGTGCTCTGTGGGGGTGGCCCACAGACCAATGGAAAAAGACCGGTTGGCTGTGTGGAGTAAACCCATCCAGGCTGCTGAAATGTGGCAAAACACTGCTGCCTGGCTTGTAAAACTAAGTTGTGTAGATGCAAGTATACCCAAGAATTGGGTTACTGAAGAGCAATGCAACAATGGATGAGTGTATTGAGCTGCCAAGATTAAAGTGTCTCAGGCGGATCTGGATTGGAAAAATAAGGGTAAATTATTTCTGGCTCGATGGGCCCATGATACCTCAGGTCATCAAGGAAGAGATGTAACAGGGAGGAGATGGACTTGTAACTGAAGGTGGAATTAACCATGGATCCTGTCTCTCAGGTTATCCACAACTGTGAAATATGCACTGCAGTCAAGGAGGCCAAGTGCATAAAGCCTCTGTGATATGGGGGACAATGGTTTAAATATAAATATGGGGAGGCCAGGGAGATTGTTCACAATACACTCACTCAAACCCACCAAGTAGTATGTACTTACAGTAGTGGAAACAACCCCTGGAGATGTGCTCACTGCCTGTAATGCCATCCTGGGCCTTGAAAAACAAGTTCTGTGGCAACATGACACCTCAGAAAGAATTGAGTCAGACAACAGGACTAATTTTAAAAATCACGTCATAGACACCTGGGCCAGAAATCATGGTATGGAGTGGGTGTATCATATTCACTATCATGCACCAGCCTCTGGGAATACTGAATGGTAAAACGGGCTGTTAAAAAACATGTAGAAAGCAATATGTGGTGGGATATTCAAGCATTAGGATCTACATTTTTTGGAGGCCACCTGGTTAAGTCCATACTAGAGGCCCCACTAATTGCGCTCCTCCTGTGCAATTAAAACCTCCATATACCATATAAGAGGGCAAAGTCACTGTGGTGCATATGAAGAATATGTTTGGAAAGAAGTTTGGCTTAGCCCTGCTTCAAGCAAATGTGGGATTGTTTTGCTAAAGGATCTGGGTGCACTTGGTGTGTAATGCAGTGTGATAGGGAAACATTACCTTGAAGGGATTTGATTTCTGGGTGAAAACAGTCTGTAAGGTTGAATTGTATGATACTGGCTGCTGAATGACACTGCCACTGTATGCCATAAGCACCATGAACAGTGGATATGGACTGCTCCAGATACACCAGTTGTGAGCTCCTCATGCATCTTGCACACACCCAACAGAACACCAGCCCTCCTGCGCTTGAAGACATATAGGATGGATAGAATCCACAGTCATGGACTAAATCAACTCAACAGATGTCTTGGAGGGATGGCCATTGACTACAAAAAATATAATAGTGCTTGTAGACACATACAGATATATATTTTCTCTAAAACTGTATAAATATATAGTTGGAAAGTGTAAGATCTGGGCATAATTCAAATGGTATAGAATAAGGAGTGGATACTGTTCTGGTTCAAACAGGACAGGGTAATTTTTACAGCAGCCAGAGAAGGCATGGCTAGGACCTGGAGGTTATTCCATATCACTTCACATAATTTTCCTGAGATGGGGGAAGGCTTTTCTTCTGGGTTGGGATAGTGTGGCAGCAGTCAGGTTGGGCTCCATGCTGAGCCATCTGCATGTGAATCACTTGTTGTTCTCTTGTACAATTCTGCTATTCATATTATTGTGATTATGGTTTGTTTTCTTACCTCATTGCTGCTTCCAAGAGATTGTTCTTAAGTCTGTATATTTTTTTATGCCTTCAATTCTCCTTTCCAACCTTTCACTGCAGAAGGAGTGGAATGGATAATAGGTAGTGAACAAGTAGTGAGTTTTGAGGTTTTTAGTGGGAGCACTAAATTGGAGAATACTGTCCCTAAACCATGATATTGAGAACTACTACTAGCCAAGGGGATTATGATTGTAAGGAACCTGCTTGACCTAGGATTGGAAATGTATTTCCTTATGGCCACTTATTACAGACCCTTTCCTTTCCCTTCTGCTAAGTGTTTTTCAGAGACATAAAGCCTGACTTAACCTATATTAGAAAAGATCCCAGCTCTGTTTATTTCCCAGTATTTTGAGATGTGACATGGCACAGGTCTTGATACATCAAGTGACCACGCTGTAGGTATGAAAGATTCTAAGTACAAAACTGATTTTTTATACTCAACATGTTTGAGCATTTTTTAAAGCAAACCTTAATTAATTAGTTCTACTAATGCATTTTAGCTAGCCATTAGGAAGCTGCTCAAACAGCTTAGAAACCAACTGTCTTTCTGAGCAGTCACAAAGGCAGGCAGGTGTTCTTTCCAAGATAATTAGCCACTGTGATTTTTAGAAGGTCTAAGGAGCAAGAGAAGAATTATGAGCTGGTATTGAGAGATGTTTTTTCTGAGTGACACAGCTGACACCGTAAAGGAATGTTACTTAAAAATATTTCTGTGTTTAGTTTGTGTTTTACCCTGATATTTGTATATCAGGCTCCTAACACAAATCAGAATTGTTCTACAATAGAAGGATACTATTGCTTGTTGTTCCAAACAAAATCCTAACAGAAAATATGCACCCCTTTTATGTATGTTATATTAACAAAAATAGGAATTCAGCTCTTATATCCACAGAAGCTTTTCTCTGCCTATGTTTCCTGAATATTTTAGCTTCTATTTGACATTGGTCAGAACACTGGCAAGAAATTCAGCACAATTGTAATGACCTGCTAATTTAAGTAAATTGTTTTACAGTATATTTAACAGGCTATTTAAATTTGAATGCTCTGTGGGAGTACTGCAGCTGTGTCATCCTATACATATCTTCTCAACATAAAGCAATGTTATAGAGTGACTGAATTAAAATAACAGGCCTTTTGGACCGTGTGACTTGAAAAACTGGAAAACTGGGAAATACGGGGTTATAACACTTGATCTTCCATCTTGTGATTCTAGAAAAGGACTTTCACTTCTGAGGGCTGGTAGGAATGTTTGGATTTATGTAGTTAAAATGTAAATGTAATCTAAAGGTAACATGAAATGTTGTATTCACAGCATCATAGAATACCAGATTGGAAGGAAGCTGAAGGATCATCAGGTCCAACCTTTCTTAGCAAAAGCACAGTCTAGATGATCCAGCACCTTATATAGTTGAATCTTCAGAGTGTCCAATGCTGGGGAATCCTCCACTCCCCTGGGTGGATCATTTTAGTGGCTGATCTCATTGTGAAAATTTTTTGTCCTGTGTCTAATCAGAATCTCTTCTTCAGGAATAACTTGTATCCATTACCCCATATCTTTCCATGTGCCTCCTTGTAAAGTGGGGGTCTCCATCTTCTCTGTGGCCACCCTTTAAATACTGGAACCTGGTGATAAGGTCTCTTTCAAGTTTTCTTTTCTCAAGGCTTAACAATGCAGTTCTCTCAGCCCTTTCTTACATGACAGGCTTCAGAGTTGTTTCATCATCTCTGTAGCCCTTCTCTTGACCTTCTCCAGCCTATCCACTTTTTTTTTTTTTTGCATGGGAGGACCAAAACTGAACACTGCATTCCAGCTGTGACCTGGCAGGTGCTGAGTAGAGTGGAATGATGATTTCATTATCTCTGCTGGTGATGCCCTTGTTGATGCAGCCCAAAATTCTGTTGTTTTCTTTACCAGAGCACCACATTTGTATTAGCTTTTAGTCCAAAAGGACTGTCAGGTCCTTTTGCACAGAGCTGCTCCTCAGTTGGGTTGTTCCCAGCCTGTGTTGTGGTCCTGGATTATGTTTTCCCAGGGGTATCACCTTACATTTGTCCCTGTTGAACTTCATAAGGTTCTTGTAAGCCCACTCTTCCAGCCTATCCAGCTCTACCTGCAGGATGGCTCTCCCTTTAGAAGTGTTCCATTTCCCACTTGGTTTGTACCATCAGCAAACTTCACCAGGGTACACTTGATCCCATCATCCAGATCACTTGTAAAGATATTAAACAGCATTGGGTCCAGTATTGAATACTGGAGTATCCCACTTGTGACAGGTTGCTAGTTTGAAAAGACGCTACTTACCACCACTTGCTGACAGGTGGACAATCCACATCCAGGTAGACAATGTCCACAGCTTGTCCCAACATCAACCAAGCCGGTTACTTTCTCATAGAAAACTTAGTGTTTTCTTTGGAAAAATTACTAATCTTCATCCACCCAGTCTCGTCTAAAGGGTGCAAAGAACTGAAAAATCAGTCCTGACAGTGATGTTTGCTCATCAAAGATTTGCTCTGAGAACCGAGATCTCTGGAGAACTGCAGTGAGAAGCATTCTTGTGCTCAAGGGGTTTTTAGTTGGTGCACAGGAGTACCAAACAAGCAGGAAAAGGTCTAATGCAAAGTCACTGGAATCAAGATGCTTAATTCATTAAGTTCTCCTTGGACTATAACTTTTCCATCGAGACTCAAATTCTGCACAATTTATGTTAAAAAACCCCAATCTAAACAAAATTGAAACTTAATTAAAGAAAGTAAAATGAGAGGCTTTTACAGTAATGACATAACATATGAAAAGTGCAATGTGTCTTGTCTTTTTAAAATTTCTTCTCAATTTTTTTCTCCAGGGTGACAAGGAAGCAGAACTAGGGCTGCCCTTCTCTCCTCTATGTGATCGGACATCTACTATGGTTGCTCAGTCTCAAATAGGTATGTCCCTTTTGGTGCATGCAAAGTAGCATCTTAAAAGAAAAACTTAATCTTCTCAATAGTACTAAGATCCTGGTGATATAATTTGAATTATGTTAAAGAGAGGAAATAAGGCACAATGGCATTATTTTGCCCAGATCAACAATTCAAAGAGGAGCCATTAAATTTATGGTGATGGTTCCAATACAGTAATCAAATTACCTCTGATGTGTTTGCAGAAATAACTACAGTACCCAGTTATGACACTTACTCCATGATTTTATGATTTGTGAAGACAGGGCACACATGAGAATATCATGTGAATGAATGTCATTGGTGTACATGAAAATGTAATGTCTGTTCCTCTGATGACATGGACAAAATATTTTATTCCTTTCACCCTTTCCCTCCCGATGCTTTAAACCAAAAATTATTTTTCACCGAATCCAAGCAACTAGCAAATCTTTTTCTGTGCCACTAATTCAGAAAAAGAGATCTTTTTACAGACTCACTAACAGCACTTTCTCTACCTCTTCTTCAGTTACTGAGTGAAAAAGTAGGGGAAGCATGAGGCAACAAACCTCACATTTAGTGAAAGAACAAGAGGGGCTAGTAAAACTATTGAGGGGGCTTGGTACAATGAAGAGAACATGGAAAAGGTGGATTTGTGGGTGGATTTTATACCTTCGAAGTAAGTGAAGAAGATGGATGTACATGTTCCAGTCTCAACTGGAGAATAGGTAGCTAAATGGAATGAAAAAGGAAAGATAACATGGACATTAAAATTGAGAGTACTGAAAAAAACAGAAAGATAGAAAACATATTAAAGAAAGCAAAGAAAAATTTAAAGCAAGAAATTTCTCTCAATAATGAAACAAAGATTTCCTGAATCTAGGAAACTATAAATTCATATCTTTGGCTAAAAGCTATTTCTCTTTAAAATTACTTTATTGTTCCTGGTAAGCAAGCCATTATCTCAGAGACAGCATCCCAGACTTTTCTGGCTCTGGAAATTTAGACAATTCACCTAAGAATCTGAGTTTGAAGAGCCGTATACAAGCCTGGCCTAGTTACCAGGCTTGTAGCATTTACTCCTCTGGAACAATAACTTACCAGAAACTGTGTGTTCTGCCGGTATCTGGGTGGAGGAAAGCAGCAACAAAACTTGAAGTGCTACAGTCTCAGCTGAAACTCATGTGGAAGACTCCTGGACATAGGCTTATTTCTGTCCTGTGGGAGAAGAAAAACTCTCCCTCTCTGGTTGATGTGAGTGAAGTTACAGGTAGACATTTCTCTTACACATCTGTTTTATCACCTTTCAGATATGTTCCTCACTCCTTACAGGGTAAAGGAGTTTTGCCTTCCCCAGGGTCCCTCTAAATAGGGTTGTGTATGCTTGGGACCCCGTTTTCCTGGTCCTCTCATTTTGGGCTCTTTTGCTTAGAAAGACCAGAAGAGGAAAGAATCTTCTGTTCTGAAGCCCCTTGTGTGAAGCCACTGAAAAGTTATTGTTATATTAAACCATCAGAAATACAATTTACCTTAGAGGCACTTGTCAGTAGGCAAAGGCAGGCTTATTTAGTCATATACTATTTCATTTGGGCAGTTTAGTAATCCATTGATATTAATAGACTACTCTTTATTTTTGCATTCTACCATTGTAAAATTATTAATTTCTCAGTCTGCTGCACTTTTTGACAGTGTCTTTCTTTATGTCCCTTTTGTTAAATTGCAACCACCTATTTTCTGGCTATATGCTGAGATAAGACTTTCAAAGTTGTAGGGTAGATTCTCAGACAAACAATCTCCTTTCATTTATTTATTTACCCAGTTAATAGTCTCAAAAAAATGTTTCCTGGAATAGTAATTACATTTCTTTGCAGAAGTTCTTACTGAATTCCAAATTGTGCATGCAACCACCATGTGGTTGGACTTGACAATCTTAAAGGTTCTTTCCAACCTTAGTGATTCTATGACTGTCATCTGCACTAAGGACTAAGCCATCAATTCTCACAAATTAAAAACTTTTGTTCTTAGTGAAATATAATTGTGCTTTTTGTTCTATCAAGGACACAGCCTAGAAATTGTGTTCTAGTGGCTCAATTTGTTTGTAGTTGCTGGTTTGCTGCTGTAAGATCACTGTAGATGCAACAACAGTAGGCACACGTTTTCACTAATTAAAGATTCTCACACAGATGGCAGGTTATGGCAGTATGGTTGATAAAATTAAGCAATCCAACAGAAAAAAAACTCCTCAAAGGAAAGAACGTGTTTCTCCTGTTGTGTCCGGTTATGAAAAAATTGTTCCGTTTAAGCTGATAAATAAAAACCCAATGAATATAAATTATTGAACTTTATTTTGAAAACCTATTAATGTTAACAATGATCACCAATTTATCATCCCTTTTCTTATTCAATAGAATGAGTATGGCAAATGTTTCTGTACCATTGTGAAGTACAAAAACTGGGAGAGTTATGTTTGGAAGTCAATCTGCTTGTTCAGAGTGGGGGAGAGAAAAACCTGCAAAGAAAACCACACCAAGATTTTAATATTTTCCAACAAGCATATCAGGAGCTAAAACTTCTCTGGCTCACACTCTAGGAAACTTGTGTAACTGAAGATCAGCCTTTATCGTCATTGTCCTCTTTTCGCAGCTGATATATGCAAGAGTATGATTTTCTTTTGTCCTTTTACTATCAAGAAATAAAAATGCACTTTCAGAAAACAATGGATGAAGGCTAATGAGTGAATGCTGCTGATTTTTTGTTTTATGGTGAACTTTAGAGAAACTGTCCTCTACCCATTTTTTTCAGTGCTGATGTTCATAGGTATAGCGAGTGAACACTAGGCATATGCCTGGAATTCACTCTTAACATGCAATATTAACTGGTGAAATCATCTTAGTCTCTAGCATACAGAAGTGTTTATCATGTTCATTCTGTTGAAGAAGAAAAAGGATGTTAAACTGGTCATTACCACTAATAGGTTTTAAAACTCAGGCTCATTTGATATTCAGGGTTTTAAATAGCAAACTAAATTACTCTATTTAAATCTCAGTGTCTTCAGGTAAAGAGGAAGAGGAAACAAGGGGAGCAAGGCATGTGGGAATATGGCAAAAGTACATAATGCTTAATAAAGTCCTAATTTCTTTTTCTACAATAGCAGATTATGATTCCAACTTTGTTATAATCCCTATTTTAAAGTAACATAGTTGAATAACTTATTAATGTTACGGGTAATAGAGGAAAAATATGCCACTTACCAAAGAAAAGTTGTCCTATGTATTTGAGTTTGTTTACCTGTGGTCCCTTTTGGGACCTCTGCTCACCTTTGTTGATGAGATGCAAGACCTCTCACAGGGAAAACTTGATTCTCAAACACAACTGTTTAATGTGTTTATGTGTAACTGTTCAGTATCTCAGGAAACAGATCCCACCATCCTGCTGCTGAAGTTAGTGATGCATTCATCTGTCTGGTATCAGAGATTTGCATGTCTCAGGGTTTTTAGTGGTGGAGGAGCAAATGGCAGTGGTATTACTTGCTGAGCAGAATGACAAGGTACTATGACTTGGGTTTCTTTGGTCATCAAGAGGTAAATAAGTTTTTGAGTGAAGGAGAATGGAAGAGACATATAGACAGCCAGACACACAAATGCCACAAATGCGTAAATCAAGTTCTCGTTATCCTTATGATTCCTGTGGCACATTTAACACTGTTCTAAGTTGGTTGCTTAAAAAAATTACATTAATTTTGCAGGGACTATCAGCATTGTGGTCTAGCATAAAATTTTCTGTTCAAGTTTTATACTGCATCCATTTCTGATTAACTACCTGGGAATTCTTTTTTTCTAAATTTTACTAGATAAGACTGATACAGTGTTATGCAGGCATGTGATTCACATGTTCAGATAACACTGCATGTGTCCCCAGATTTACAGCCTATAATGTAAAAGTAACATTTTTTATTTGTTTGTCATGAAAATACACCTAATAATCCATCCTTTTCAAAACTCAGCAAAAAGATGGGGAGGGAAATGGAACTAGCAGGATACTTAACTGCTTTGTACTCAAGATGTGGATTGAAGCATGAATTCAGGTACCTGAACCATATGATCACTTTTTTTGCTGTTCATGTTATCATCAAGAATCACCAGTAGCATATAAATATATCATGACTTACCCAGAAAAAATAAAATATTGTTAATGAGAAATTAATTGTTAAAAATTTAAAAATACCTAAAATTTGTAATAGTGGGGGTTTGGAACAGTAGTGATTGTAACCTGAATTACAGTGTGCCTTAGGAAGGATCAAGGACTTTGTTGTTTTCTTGGCTACCTGCAGCACTAAGTAATTTCATAAATGAAGTACTAAAAGAATTAGGGAAATAGGTAAGCTACTCATTTCCACATTTTATTCATGTATCTTGGGTTGGAAATGGAAGATGAGGTTTGGGGTGTGTATTCTATTGCCATCTGTTAGAGGTGAAGCAGTTATCTTCTGTTAATTTGGACACCTGTTACAACCAGGTGGGACAGTTTCTCTTTATCTCTTCCACACCCAATCCTCCCTCCAGAAAATATCTTCTGTTAATGGACCATTGAGTCTTACTGCATGACTGATAAAATTACATCATCCCATTGTGAAATGCTCCACCCAGAAGGAGGAGCCAGGAATTCCTACCTGGATATAATCTGAGATTTGAAACACCAGAGTCAGCCTTTCCACTGGATTCCCAGAGGAAGACCAAGCCCATCTTCACCACCACTGGATCTTCAGAAGAAAACTACACCCTTCTACAGGATGACTGCTTTCAAAAGAACCATATCTGTCACTTCAGGATGACTGCAGCCACCCTTTAATCAGACTACTACCACCACCCTGACTGACAGTGAGTCAGGTCATATTCTGACTCTGTCAGTGTTGTTTTGTATAACTGCATTTTTATTTCACCTTTATTTTTCCCCTAATAAAGAACTGTTATTCCTACTCCCATATCTTTGCCTAAAAGCCCCCAGTTTCA